GGCCCGAAACGTCAATAATTTTGCTAACATCACAATGAAGAATTGTTAATGCAGCGCATGCACAGATTGTGAATAGCAACTGAATAGAGCGGTTGTCAGTTGACAACCCTCATTTTTTAGCATTCTATATACATGTATGCAGGAAAACCGGCCCTTACTGGCCACCCTTGGTGCAGCGGAAACTGTCCTGATATGACAGGATTCCGCTTGATCCCGTGATGCATGTTCGATCCACAGCACTTTGGTGTGTGAAAAGTGTGTCCGATCAATACAGAATTCTGCTTGGTACAGGGTCCGGAAACCACAGGTTTTACTGTGCACCGCTCCTCTACTCTTGTATGGACTCTGAACAGAGTGTAAATCCAAGGGCAGTGTAGCAAAGGACTGTCACTTGTTCTTTGGTGTGTTTGACCTTGGCCAGCTGGCTACGAAAGGCATTTTGTCAGGTCTATTGAGCTGACTATCCCCTGTGTGTGGCTGTATGCGTGTGACTCTGTGCATGCTTGCACACGTGTGCTTGCATGTATGCGTGCTTGCATGTATGCGTGCTTGTGTGTATGCTTGCTTGTGTGTATGCGTGCTTGTGTGTATGCTTGCTTGTGTGTATGCGTGCTTGCATGTATGCGTGCTTGCATGTATGCGTGTGCTTGCATGTATGCGTGCTTGTGTGTATGCACTTGTACATGAAATGTTGTTGCAGAATGATATTCTGGATAGAGGATTCGCAGAAGGCCGATGATATAATCCAGGGGGCTAGCTTTGGCCACCCAAGGTACAGCATTTTCTTCAGGCTCCGTGGCAACAACGCCTTCAACATAACCGCCATGGCCGCCAACCACAATCGGCTGGTGTTTGCCGAAAACACGAAAAACACGATTCGCATGTGCCTCTTCAAGGACTATGACTTCAGCACGACGGACCCAATGATGCAAACCAAGTGTCGTTCACATACGGTATGTCTCCTGTGTTTTGTTTGTGGCAGATTTGCATTAAATTTTATATTCGGAGTTGTCGGAATCAAAGTGCTGCCAGTGGCCAGAAACAGTTGGTACCAAAATCATTCAACACTGAATTGAATTTTCACTGGAATTAGTTGATTTTAATATTGATTTTGTTCTGTGAATCGTTTCAGGCTCTACTGGCGGGTACAGGCCAAGTGAATTCGGTGATCATCTCCGGTAATACTCTTTACTACGCCAACCAGAGGTACGTGATTGCTGGTGTGGAGAATGTGTTGTGTCTGCCACTGGTAGGAGTGGTTCAAGTGCAACTTATGCGGTAGAAATCTGATTCGGATGATACCCTGCTGGCAGCAGGAATGTGCTAGTACAGTAAACCCTGGTTAGGAAGAACCGACTGATACGACAATTGTTTGCTTAAGAAGAACTAGTATTCGTAACTCCATTGGTTAGCCCCATCCCTCACACAAACAAGTCAACAAAGAGGCATCTTTGGATTGAGGAGTGCTGGTTTCGAAACAACTGGTTTAAAGCTCAAAGTAGAGCTGGTGTTAGCTCAGAGCAGAGCTGCTGTTAGCTCAGAGCAGAGCTGCTGTTAGCTCAAAGTAGAGCTGCTGTTAGCTCAAAGTAGAGCTGCGGTTAGCTCAAAGTAGAGCTGCTGTTAGCTCAAAGTAGAGCTGCGATTAGCTCAAAGTAGAGCTGCTGTTAGCTCAAAGTAGAGCTGCTGTTAGCTCAAAGTAGAGCTGCTGTTAGCTCAAAGTAGAGCTGCTGTTAGCTCAAAGTAGAGCTGCTGTTAGCTCAAGGTAGAGCTGCTGTTAGCTCAAGGTAGAGCTGCTGTTAGCTCAAAGTAGAGCTGCTGTTAGCTCAAAGTGGAGCTGCGGTTAGCTCAAAGTAGAGCTGCTGTTAGCTCAAAGTAGAGCTGCTGTTAGCTCAAAGTAGAGCTGCGGTTAGCTCAAAGTAGAGCTGCGGTTAGCTCAAAGTAGAGCTGCGGTTAGCTCAAAGTAGAGCTGCGGTTAGCTCAAAGTAGAGCTGCTGTTAGCTCAACGTAGAGCTGCAATGCTAAATGGATGTAATATAGCGCAAGGCAGAGCCGCAGCAAATAGCTAGATAACACCAGTTGTGAGAGTGGACCCGATTAGTGGGTACGATAATTGTGATGGTGTGAATAAGTTGGATAGGGAGGGATGGTGGGAAAAGAATCACTGCTGAAGCACGATCCGTTGTTTGGAAGAGCACAACAGGGCAAGCAAGATTTGTTTTTCTTTTCCGCAAAATGGGCTGGTGCCATTTGTGATTACGCAGCAAAACAAAGCGCATGACGTCAGTCTTGAATGCAGTACAAAGCAATGCAGTGCAGTGTGTGCGCTAGTTCGGATTGTTGCTAACAAGTACTAGCACAGCTAGTACACCAATAAATCACTGTGTATTCACTGGGTATAACATACGGAGAAGAAGAACTCCCGTTATTGCGAACAAATGCCATCGGTCCCTTGGTGTTCGTCCTAAAGAGGTTTGACTTTGACTGCAGTACCCAAAGTGCTTCTAATCCAAGCATACTTCTGTATGGGTTAGTACACCCGCGTTGAGGGCAATGCCCCTAAGCAAGAGTTTTTTCTAATCAGATTATGTACTAAATGAGTTCCACTGTTCTGCTGTCGTTTTGTATCCCGCTCTCGTCCTTTCCTGCTTTCAGTGGTCTGTGGATGCTAGCTCTACCAGAGGTGAATAGATCATCGTGGACTGTCCTAGGGACACGTCATGTGCCCCGACAACTAGCCTCAGCCGATGATATCCAGTCCGCGACCTTGTATCGTGCTGGTGTGCGAAATGACACCAGGCGTTCGCGTAAGTTTTTTTATTGGGCGTCTGAATCATCAGTGTAGTTAAACGGTACCAAGCACGCAGGAATAAGTATGTCTGCCAGCATCCACTGCATGTATTTCCATACAGGCTACTGGTTGCTGGCCGCAACAGATCATATCAAAATGTATCAAAATGTAGATATTCAAAGTCGGGACATGTTTCTGCTCTCGTTAGTGCTCTAAGGTTTGGCCCAGCATCTTCAGTGTGTCTTATCGTTCCCTGGCACGCGTGCTTTTTCTCTTTTTCTCTGTATCTCTCTAACTCTCATGTTTCTCTATCTCCACCTATCTCTGTCTACTTCGAAGTATATCTTTCTCTCACTCCCTCTCTCACCCCCCCCCCCCTCTCTCTCTCCCTCTGTCTCTCCCTCTCTATCTCTCTCCACCTGCATTTCCGATCAATTCCCTCTTTGTCTTTCACTCTGTTCCTCACACACGCTCTGTATTCGTGTCTCTGCTTCTCTCTGTGACTCTGTGCCTGAATCCGTGACTGTCTATCTCTCTGCAGCTAATGGCTGTGAGCTGAGCAACCCGTGTCGCTATTTCTGCCAGTCAGTGGGTACCCAGCACGTCTGCAGCTGTCCAATGGGAATGGTGTTGCTTAGCGACAATCACACGTGCATTAGTAAGTCTGCAGTGCGTGAGGTGCGTGTGTGTGTGTGTGGGGGGGGGGGGGTTGTTATACATGCATAGGCTACGCACGAATATGATGTTACCACACACGCCCAAAGCAAAGTATGCATTTGATGTTCTACCTTCAGTTATGCTGTGATGTAGTCCATTAGTAGGCTGGCACGGCATCCTATGCTCTGCTTTTGCGTGTGTGCATGCATGTGTGTATGAGTGCTGTCTGCCATTCGTGCATGTGTGCACATTGTGTGATTTGCATGTACTGTGTTTGCACATCGTGTCATTTGTGTGTACATTGTGTGGATGTTGTGTACTCCTTTCAGAAACGAACTGCAGTAGTTCCGAACACTACTGCCAGTACGGAGTACAGTTTGGTGGTGGTATGCAGGAGACCAAGGAGAAGAAGTGTGTGCCGTTCACGTACGAATGTGACTCTGGTTGCGACTGCCGGAAAGACTGCAGCGATGAAGGAGAGTATTGTAAGTACACTTGTGTACGAATACAGGGACACCATTGGTCATGCACTCGTATTCGAGGGAAGTGCGAACGTTGGTTGTGCACTTGCATGCGAGGGAGCTGAGTCGATGGGTTATGCAATCGCATGCAAGGGCATCGACACCATCGGTCGTGTACTCCTATGCGAGGGCGGTGCAAAAGTTGGTGGTTGCTGCATTGATGTATCATCCATATTTTCTTCTTCTTTACACATGCTAATCGAAAGAGAGTGAGAGTGCTTTATTGTCAATCAAGCTCCCTCTCATGTAGGCTATAGCCGAGGACTTCAGCCAAGTTGAACATTTTGTGTGCAAATCCTTTTTGTTCTCTGGAACCTTCATCTTCCCTTTGTAGAAGGCCACTGGGTTGGCCCGAGTCAGATGCAGAGGGTTTTTTTTTGGGGGGGGGGGGTATGTAGTGTTTCGCCCATCCTACGTCTACATGTAACAGATGTGTACGCTCTTGTGTGCACGTCCATAAACATAGGTATGTACGATATGTATGTGTACGCAGGAGTTCATAATAGTGAGCTGGGCAACACTTATGGTAAAAAAGGAGAAGGACAAAATGTTACGAGTTATGACGAGTTTTTTTACCATAATGAAATTGGCTCACCATCCAAGTTCAACTAAGCAACACTTCATATGTATTCTGACGGGCAATGTGTATCTGTGTGTCTGTGTGTCTGTGTTTCTACCTTGTTCTACCTTGCTCTATATGACGACCACCCATCATACCAGGTACATGTCCAGATGGTCAGTTCCGGTGTCCGGTAACTGCCCGCGAGAAGTTCAAGTGCTACACGGCCGAGCAGCGGTGTGACGGCACTGCAGACTGCGAGAACTACCACCAAGGAGATGAGAGAAACTGCTCAGGTACAGCATAATGACATCCTCCTGCGCTACAAAGCGTCTAGTATCCATATCGCTACACGTATTTTTCCTATTTCTCTCACAATCCCTGATTATCTGGCATGGTTGGTTAACACGGTTACACCCACTCTCTCCAAATTGGCCGGTGTGCACAGCGCTGCACCAACTCAAGCGAAACCGCCGACTCATCCTGCATACTAAGCGGCCATAAGCAGTTCCGCTACTTTACAACCATTACATCATTTGAGTAAATCTCTTGGTCATAACCTCTTGGCATTGAGTACTCCTTTGGACAGCCTGGAACCTTTCTGTTTTTAAACCACCATAGAAATCGGTTCAGTCTCCAGACTCGGGGACTGTTCCAAGAATATAATTCTCGAATACGGCAGCTTCTTATTAACACATGCTCACAATTGGAAGTCTCCAAGGTCAATATTGGGATAAATTTATAAAGTTGCTTTTCTTGTTGTATGCAGTAATGTGTATGGGTAGAGGAGAGAAGATGTGTCATGACAATGCAACTGGCGAGCCTATTTGTGTCAAAGAGGAGCACTTCTGTGATGGTGTTGCACACTGTTCCAGCGGCATTGATGAGGATGAACTCCTGTGTGGTGAGTTATTGTAGCTCGGTTTTGTGTGTATGTGTTTGTGTGTGTGTTTGTGTTTGTGCAAGTGCACGTGTGTATGCATGTGTGCGTGCATATGTGCATGTGTGTGTGTGTGTGTGTGTGTGTGTGTGTGTGTGTGTGTGTGTGTGTGTGTGTGTGTGTGTGTGTGTGTGTGTGTGTGTGTGTGTGTGCGAGTCATAAGTGTAACGCTGTTCGCGCGGCCCGCGCGCGCTGAGTATGGCGTTCCCCGCCCGGTGGACAACACGTCTCCTGGTCTGCCCCGTATGGGGCCACATAGCCAGTCATGGCAGTGGAAGAAGGAAGGAAGGAAGGAAGGTGTGTGTGTGTGTGTGTTGGGGGGAGAGAGAGAGAGAGAGAGAGAGAGACTTGATGCTATTCGTTTATTGTGACTTTACCCTGTTTGGACTGCAACTAGCGTGTAAGTGGTTGCTGAAACTGCGACTGTTGTGATCTAGCTCTGTTGCTTTCTTTCTCCACATTGTGCCTATGCTACTGCAGGCACGGCCGTAACGGAACCATACGAACTCCAGGACACGTCCTCGCACAGCCTGGCCAATCTTCTCACGGGCGTCTTCTCCGCCATCCTGATAGCCGCCATTATCCTCGGGTTTGTCGTCTTCTACATGTACCACAAGGGAAGCGGCCCTGGCAGTGTGCACACAAAGAGAAGCTCGCAGGACTCCATGATTGGCGGCGATTCAAGCAGGTATGCAAGGAAACTGTTACAAGCTTTTTTAACCCTTTACCATCCGACCTAAATTCCCCAGCAGTCCCAAATGCAATTTGTCTCACCGTATTCTGAGAATATCTTCGGTTCTAGTCAACCAATTTTCGCAATCTTGGGCATTCTGGAAAGCTCTCCACGAGCTGCGTACATTGAGCTCAAACAGGACACTACCGAGATCACATACCCAGCGCCAGGGAGCTTCAAATACACCCCATCGCTGGATATACGAGGAAATCTCTCCTCGCCAGCCATTTCTCGCTCCTTCATCGTAAACATTCCAAATTTTTTGCTTGAGTTTCTTTTCATGCTGCCCACGCGCTCAAAACATGCCAAAGTGACTCAGCATGCCAGGAGAGGGGAAAGTCCCCACTCAAGGTCTGTCACTCGGAAAGAAATTTGACTTTTGCCGTGGCTGAAATGTCGAGCGTCATATCTTTGGAATGCGACATCGCAGCTCTTCACCGATTGATGCAATGGAAAGCTGAGCTCTTCGGCTTCTTCCTAGATACTTAGTTTTTTTAATTCCGCCAAGAATCGATCGAGTTGCGAATGTTTCAGTGTATGCATGTCCATCGATCTCTAGAGATCGATTCAAGTACACACGGATGGTAAAGGGTTAACGTTACTGAGAGCCTCTTTTACTGGCAAAAGCAAGACAATACGATGAGAAACTAGGGTATGATCGGTAAAAATAACACACAGCTGTGGAAAATCTGTCTCGTGTGAGTGTATGGACAAACTGCTTCAACTTGTCGTTTGTGATGTGATTATCCATCGTATCCACACCTAGCTGGTGTGTAGTCAGCGTAGGTCTGGTAACCACACCAGCCAATGGCTGTCGTAGGTACTACCAAGAGTACATAACCTAGGCGAAATGGGCGAAATGGCGGCTATGGGGTTGCAGGTGATACATGGTCATCACAACACAGATGTGCTTCAGTACTTGGTCACCACACCACATATGTGATCTGGCACACAGTCACCACGTAACAGATGTGATCTGGCACATACCTAGTCACCACACCATAGGGTGTGCGAGCCTTGCCCCTATTTAAGGTGTGATCATCCATCGTAACCACACACTCGACACTGTCGCACTCTTCTTCCTTCTACATACCATCACTCCACTCACGTAACGGAATCTCTGTGAGAGGTTGAATGGCTTCCAGCAGCTGTACAGCGGTGTGGGTCTCAGTGTGGTTTACAGTCAACTTCGCTTATAACGACACTTGGCCGGGCATCAGAAAAGTGTAGTTATTCACAAAGTGTCCTTATACCCCAAGTCTCATTATATGTATACAGGCTAGATGAGACTGGTCTGGGCATGGACATAATATTTTGTCGTTATCTGCGAATTGTCGTTATATCCGCAGTCGTTATTAGCGAAGTTGACTGTAATCGATTCTTTCTCTTAGTCACTAGAATATTCGGACATGGAGATGCAGAACACATTGTCTAGTTTCCGGTCTTGGGATACGTGATGTGAACAAGGAAGGAATATTGTGTTTGTTTACTGTAGTTTCAGAGGTTGTATGTGCTTATAATTTTAGGTGTGAGGGCAAAAGATCGGTTAGGTAAACAGAAGGTTTAGGTACAGAGAAGCAGTTCCCTATGGGATAATGTGTGTCAGTGTTTGTGCGGCTAGTGTTAAAGGGGTATAAAAGAGGTGCACCGAAAGTACCAAAAACACAAAAACACAAAAAAATGTGTGAAATCACAGTACTGTGTGTGTGTGTCACTTAACCCTTACTTCTCTGCTTCACGCAACCGTACACACCCACGCACCCATGTAGATTCCAAGTTTCATCGTCGTCACCTAGCAGTGGCAGTGTGAACGTCAGCGAGGGCAGTCAGAACGCGTCCAACGGCGATTCGGCTGCATCTCCCTCAAAGCACACCAGCAGCACACAGGCGGCGGCACGCAATATGATGGATCTCACGCAGGTGCACAGTGTCAATATGGCAGCAGCAACGGCAACGACGACGGCTACCAATCAGGAGTCCAATACTTACACGGTGACGGGTGATCGTAAAATACCATCACCGGACAGCTCTCAGAAAGATGTGAGTATCCCTACTACTGATGTGTGTTTGTTTATCAAAGCAGCAGCCAGAGTGGAGCTTGGAGTTGTTTGCTTTGGCGATATCTAACATCGCCTGGCCAAGCGTCTCCAGCATCACAGCCAGAGTGGGGCTTGGAGTTGTTTGCTTTGGCGATATCTAACATCGCCTGGCCAAGCGTCTCCAGCATCACAGCCAGAGTGGGGCTTGGAGTCGTTTGCTTTGGTGATATCTAACATCGCCTGGCCAAGCGTGTCCAGCATCACAATGCCGCAGCGGAACCTTTCCTACTCAGACCTCACGTATTCTCGATACCTCCCTACCAGGGGGATCTCTGCTTTCTATCACTAGTCTGATGTCCTGCTAAGTTGCAATGCAACCCTTCTCTCTGGATAAGATTGAAATTAGTAGATTTGTAGGGTATTTATTCACCACGACAGTAGTAGCCAATTGTGTCGTTAATCAGCCGAGTGCATTGTCCGATATGTGTGCAAAGGGCACAGGAGAGCGAGCACCGAAAGTGTGAGGTGTTCATTAGTGTGCTGTGGAATACGAGTGCTTGTGTATTCTTGGTGTTGTCTGCTCATACAGAGTGGCCATGGAGCAGGATCACCCTGCGACCTTAGCAACAATGAAAGTGACTCCGACGGCGGAGAGCCTAGCGATGACCACACGTGAGTTGATGCACACTGATGGTCTCAGTAAACATTATGTCTCTAGAAATTCATGTTGTGCTGGCGGTTTACTCGAAAGCAGTAGTGGATATACAGTGCTGCCTCAATGAAATCCAATTCGCTTTGCTGCTATTGCTGCCGGTGATGTTTTGGTTTTGTCTGTTTCTCTTATTGGAATTCGTTAAGAGTTTCAAAGTATACGTTTCTCGTTGCCTGAGTATTCGAAAGAAACGAGAATGTGGCTGTCCGTAGCCGACCCTGCACTGTGGTTTTGCTGTTGCAGATGTGAGGAGTGAGAGAGAATCTTTATTCTCAAGATAGCCAGTGCCCAATAAGAGAATGTTTCTGCTGTTGTTGACAGGTACACTGACGACGGCATGTGTTCGGAGGACGAAGGCTTATCTGCACCCGCCGATGCTCTGCAATCTATCAACATGGACGAACTTCTTAGCATTACGACGGCTGAAGTCAACAAAGGTGTGTGTGTGTGTGTGTGTGTGTGTCCCATATGGTGCAGTGGTATGTGCAGTCGATTTCCAATCGAGAGGTTGCGGGCTCAATTCCCGACGATTATGGTCGCACACGTCTTTCTTCTCTTTCTCGGTCTCTTCCTGACTTTTCTTTCATTCTCCTGGGTGGTTACCAACAGCCAGTGTATGCCGGAGTATGTGGTGTGGTGTGTGTGTGTAGAAAAAAAATGGAAAAATGAAAAATAGGGATTCACTGGCCAGAAAAAGTCACTTCAATCAGCTGTGTGGTGGATACCAGGCTAAAAATAGTGGCGGTCAATTCATCAGCCTTGCAAGCTGTTGAATGGTGTAATCCCAGCACAAGTTGCTATGTCTAACATAGCTGTTCGCTATCATCGCTTCCGCGATGGGCAGGTCTGAGGTCTGAGGTCTGAGGTGTGTGTGTGTGTGTGTGTGTGCGTCCGTGTGTGCGTCCGTGTGTGTGTCTGTGTGTGTATGTGTGTGTGTCTGCGTGTGTCTGTGTGTGTGTCATAGGTATACCGTATTCATTCTCCGTGTGCCTCTTTAGTCTTTGCCCCTCGAGCTACAATGAATCTTCATCTCCTCTATGTGTGTGTGTGTGTCTGTGTGTGTGTGTGTGTGTGTGTACGTGTGCGGTGTACATGTGTGTGTGTCTCTCTCTCTATTTCTCTTTGCCTTCTCTCTCTCTCTCTCTCTCTCTCTCTCTCTCTCTCTCTCTCTCTCTCTCTCTCTCTCTCTCTCTCTCTCTCTCTCTCTCTCTCTCTGTCTGTCTGTCTCTCTCTCTTTCTCCCTTTCCCCTGGTTACAGTGCCGACAATGAGCAAGCCACCACCAGCGCTGGCAGGCCCTCCTGTACAGCAGCACCGGGCAAGTCCTCTTGTTGTTGGCACCAGTGGTGGCGGTAGTGGTAGCATACCAGTACACAGCAGTGCATCACAGCACATGGCTATCTACCCACAGTCGCCGGCTGCTCCACCAGCATACTACAATGGCGGTGGTGGTGGTGGACCACGGCGACCCAAGCATGCACCGTACGACAACTACCCACCGCCAGTGTCTGTGGACTACTCTCACATGTATGGAGACTGCGGTAGTGAGGATATGAGTAAGTGCACTGTGCTATGCCATGCCCTGTAACAGTACCCATCAAGAAAGCTCGGGTATACGGCACTCTCGATAATGTAATGTGACCCTCATCTTGGATCAATAATGGCATTTCCCGTCCCCTCCCCTCCTTCTTTGATCAATAATGGCACCATTTCCCTTCCCCTCTCCTCCTCCTTCGATCAATAACGACACCATTTCCCTTCCCCTCTCCTCCTCCTTCGATCAATAACGACACCGTTGATAATGCACGGAAAAAGCCTCAGTAATGGACATGCTTCGTCGCCGAGCTAAGTGGGTTCGTTGTCCAAGGCGGGGTGCCGTATTTTTGTTTATGCGCATATGTGGAGGCATTAGCGGGCCCGGGGAAAAGTGCTCGCATTTGCATGCCTTGCATGTGTGTGCGAGCAAGCGTGTGTGTACATGCATGCATGTGTGTGTGTGTGTGTGTGTGTGTGTGTGTGTGTGTGTGTGTGTGTGTACGTGCGAGTGTGTGTGTATGTGTGAGTGTGTGTGTGTGTGCGAGTGTGTGTGTGTGTGTGTGTGTGTGTGTGTGTGTATGTGTGTGTACATGTGTGTGTGTGTGAGTGATTTTGGTTTGTGTATGCACATTACCAGTCCACCGTCTATCTGTGTTCTTGTTTGTCACTGTGCGGTGGCATTGTGTTGTTCTGCAGGTACAGCTGATGGTCTGGATGGTATGGGTGGTCCGTGTCCCAGTGTCTGTTCTCAACCTATCAGTAAGTAATTTTACTACATGTTTAACATAGCAATTCTTAGCAATGCTTGGCAATACTTAGCAATGCTTGGCAATACTTAACAATTCTGGGCAATGCTTAGCAATTCTTGGCACTGCTTAGCAATGTGTAGCAATTCTTAGCAATACTTATAAATGCATAGAACTTGCGCTCATTGTCATCAATACATCAATAGCCACAATAGCCACCAACTGCACACTCCACTCCTAAACAATATCTTGCAGTACAGTACAGTAGTGGTGATGTGGTGATGTGAGTGCCGTTTCAGTTATCTACCCGCTCCCACCTATCCACGTAATTAAACTGTTGTTTTGTGAGCCCGTGCCGAAACGGGAGTGGCCATGCGAGGGACTACACTACAGAGTTGTGTGTCCTCAGCATACTGCAGGTTGAATTTGAATCACGTTTCCAGTGCAATTCAGCCACTGAAGTTTGATTCAGAATGATTCATACAATAATTCTATCGAGCCAGACACGACCAGTTTCCCTATACGTGTGTGCATATCTGTGACCATCTGTGTGGTATTGCAAACAGGCTATGTTGGTCATCCAGGACATCCAGCTGCACCTTGTCCCAGTATCAGTGATTGCTCAGGTAAGGCTGTTTCCGCTCCTGCTGCTGTTGTTGCTGCTGTTGTTGTTCCTGCTGCTGCTTCTGCTGCTGCTGTTGTTGCTGCTGTCTATGCTCAGTAGGGAACAGAACTTGTACGAGCAGGTGTATGGGAATGAAGTGACCTAGGGCTGAAACGATCATTCAATAACTCTTAACGATCAACCAATATCATTAACGATCGATATATTGGTTTTATCGATTCTTGCCGGCTCTACCCGTGTACCTCGAACATCAGTTTACGAAAAAATTCCACGATACCTTTCCTACGTTAGAAATTTGTGGCACCGCACTGTTGACGTCTGTAGACATCTGGCTGGTTTATCAACATGACCTAGAGAATTTCATGTTGTTTCTAGAGCGAAGAATCTTGTCATCACCCTCCGGCAACTCCTCTTATCTCTGACCTTTCCCGCAAATGAACTGAAAAGATTATGAGTATTCTCTTCCGATCTCTTTCAAAGCCACAAATCAATTTTACTGCGCTTGAAAGTACATGATTGTACTCGCATTCACTATCGGATGGAGTGCAAGGGCTAGAATACTGTCACTTATACACATGCGTAAAAAATCGTTAGCACTCGATTTGAGTACTAACGATTATCGATTGCACTCCTAACGATCGACATGCGAGTTATCGGTATAATTGTTTCAGCCCTAGAATGAACCCCGTATGTATTCGAATGGAGTTTGTGTGTATCCCAATAAAACCTGTGTGGATTCAATGACATTTATGTGAAAAAGGTTTCAGAGGAGACCCGCACTCTTCCTCTTCACTCTGCAAACTCGAACTTGTTTCTCAATCAATTATCACACCATTGCATACCTGATGAGGGCGATTTTGCCGAAATGTTGTAATAATTGATTGAGAAACGAGTTCAAGTTTCCAGCGTGAATGGGAAGAGAGCGGGTGTGCTCTGAAACCGGTTTTTTTCCTATGAACCTGCAGGAAGCCTCACCACTGCTACCAAGTTATTTCTGTGAACTCCAGTAAAACGTCTGTTTGTGTGTATCGTTTGTCTGTGTACATGCTGCAGTGCCAGATCACAGTGAAGTCTCAGAGTACAGCTATAGCGACGTCACCGGTGGTAGCAGATCACAGTACTCTGGAGGAAGCGAGTACAGCAGTGGCACACAGCAGAACCAACAGGCTCAGCACCATCACCATCCACACCTGCAGCAGCAACAGGCTCAGCACCATCACCATCCACACCTGCAGCAGCAGCAGCGGCTGAAACGATTTGGTACATGTAAGTAATGTTAGGTTGCTAGTAAAACGAGCTATAGTAATAGAGTTCTCTCTCGCTCTCACTCTATCTATCTGTTTTTCTATCTCTGTCTCTCTCACTTACTCTCTCTCTGTCTCTCTCTCTCTCTCACTCTCTCTGTGTCTCTGTCTCTGTTTGTCTGGCTGTCTGTCTGTCTGTCTGTATGTCTCTCTCTCTCTCTCTCTCTCTCTCTCTCTCTCTCTCTCTCTCTCTCTCTCTCTCTCTCTCTCTCTCTCTCTCTATCTCTCTCTCTCACTTACTCTTACTGTGTGTGTGTGTGCGTGTGTGTGTGTGTGTGCGCGTGTGTGTGTGTGTGTGTGTGTGCATGTGTGTGTGTGTGTGTGTGTGCATGTGTGTGTGTGTGTGTGTGTGTGTGTGTGTGTGTGTGTGTGTGTGTGTGTGTGTGTGTGTGTGTGTGCATGTGTGCGTGCGTGTATGTTGTGTTCACTGCCTACACACAGTACCAGAGTATCCCGACGAAGGTCTGCCGGACAGTGTATCACAGGCCATTGACGGCATGAGCATGGTGTCCAGTATAGCCCCACCGGCCCCGCCATGCGGCTCACCGGCCACCACTGCAGCAGTACATGTAGAAGAGTAACAGTTCTTGATATCACCTATTGTCACCAGCCCTCCAGACACGTGATGATGCCGCAGTAGTCCTACGCAGTCCTCTACGCGGCCGCTCCTGCTTTGCATGGCGCCGTTTGGGAATCCGTTTCCCGCAAGACTGCTGCTGCATTAGTCATGATGTGCGTACAGTTCAGGGCGTCTGCACGCACACTTGAGCTAGTGATGCGATTGTAGTGCACTGCATCACCATTGCTGTAATTCTCTGCACTGGATGGGAGAGTGAGTGGCTTGGACTTGAGAGTGTGCGTGCCTGCGTGTGGATGTGCGCATGTGTGCGTGTTGCATGTGTGTACAAGTATGTGCGTGCGCGTGTGGACAATGAAATTTGTTAGAGAAACTACTTCGCAGATATAATTCTGGTGCCGGATAAAAGTATCTCTCATTCACTCTTTCTGTCTCTTATGTTTATTCCTTGAGTTTAATTTAGTTTATTCTACATGTATTCCTCCTAGACATTTCTGTTAGGCAACACTGCTATCTTCTCTCACAGACTACCAGGCTTCTTGAAAGAAAAATTATAGAATAAAATCGCTGAGGACCTGATGAAAACAATGTGACAAATTCCATGTGCATTCGGTACACAATATTATTATGCATATACAAATAGATTTGCAATGATGCTGTCATCCCATGCGGACCAGGCAGGTGATAATGCTGAAAACGCTTGCTTGATGTTTGGCCGCATGCGCTAGGTCACTGAACCACTTCGTAGCTTGCACTGCCTGTCCAGTGTCCTCCCAAGTCGCTGCCATGGTTACGGCAAACACCTGTTTTAATTCAGGAAACACTAGAAATCCAATGACGGAAATCCAGTGCGGAAATCCAGTGATGTGGAAGAATTGTCCCAGAGACAAGCAGCAGCTCTGCCATCCCACTGCTAGAAACTCTCTTGCATTAGTTCGGCATTATCCTCTCTTTCATTCTCTCCCTCTCTCTGCTTCACTGCTCTCCGAATGTTATATTTGCACAATCTGCTTATCCTCAGCCATATTGCTGATCCTGGGTTAGTATTGTATTGCTGACTGCTTGAGATTCACACATGATAGACATGCTTGCTTTCGGTCTAGCTAACAACAAGTTCTTCGAAGTACCGGGAATAAAGTGAGAGCAGTAATTCGAGAAGGGGTCTTGGTAATCATGCAGTTTAGGGTCCCAAATTATTTCGCACTTTCCCAGTGTTCAGTGTACCATGGTGTACTGTCACACGCGTTTTCAGTGTACTTTCACATCATGAACTTTATTTTCATGAAAACCGAGGACAGATCAGACTGGGTACTGCTGGTGAACACTGCGGAGCAGGGAGCCGAACGTGTTGTCTTCCGCGCGAACTCTCTGTCTCCACACGAACTCGCGGTGGCACGTCGGCAACAACTCTCGCGAGGTGCCGAAGTTGCGCTTCAGCTGGCGCTTGGCCCGCACATGTTTTCCACGTTGTTGGTGTGGATCGTTCGGTCGTCCGGATCAACAAAGTTGTCGTCGTAGACGACGACATCGTGCTGGTATACGCCACCGTCGCGTCGATGTTCCTGATCTGCGCGTATGCGGCCCAGCCGTCAGAGATGATGCGTGAGCCAGGCAGAAACCACTCGCTGATACACCGCCGAGCGGCAAGGAACTCCAGTTGACCAAGTTGGGTTCTAGAAAAGATCGGCACTAGTGTGAACACCGTCCACTTCTCCATCAAAATCGCATGATCATTTAGAATGTGTACCTGATGGACAATGCGTATCAGCGCTCCGGGACGCCCAGCCATTACCACAAAGTCAAAGAAGAACTTCCATAAAGGAGACAAAACTTTGACAAAGGAAACAAAACTTTGACACGAGAAAAGAAGAAGCATAGTGAAAGTACACATGTTTTCATGAAATAATAGTTCATGATGTGAAAGTACACTGAAAACGCGTGTGACAGTACACTGAACACTGGGAAAGTGCGAAATAATTTGGGACCCTAAACTGCATGATTACCGAATCGACACGTGTATACCGTGTTTATTCATGCCGTGTCAAACGATGGAAACGATATGCAGTAACACGATGGGAGAAGGAAAAACAATAATTTTAGTGAAGAGGACAATGAACACACCATGTCGCCGTTTGTCGGTTCAGCTCGTCCTATTGACTGCGGTTTTAAAATTGTTGTCTCCTCGCCGGTTGTCTTAAAAAAATGTTGCTTCACGGTTTGTTTTTTGGGCTAATCGAGTTACACAGCATGCTCATTAGAAGATTGCGCTTTTGCGCAAATTCAACGAGAGCATCTCCATTGGCATTCCGCTTGCCTTTTACTGTAATTCCCCAGGCACTCTTCATAACATTGCTCACGGCCCATTTTGGAGTTGAAGTCTCCCAGCACCAATACAGCCGACTCGGTTCGTCAACTGGACCGTCGAGGACTTCTGGTTGTCGCTCCGCCGCATCTAACGTATACATCAACATGGTCTGGTATGGGCCGATGGCCTTTGATCTCCATAAACTATGCTATTACTTGAACCAGGGAGTATACGACTCCCTGACTGACTTGAACTGATAAAGCTCGAAGAAGGAAAGGGGAAGACTATAAAAAAGTCTTCACTCATTATTATTACAAATTCAATAATTATTGGAGAGGATTTGCATTCCGAAATTCTGCGGAAGATTCGGCACACGAGAGCGCGTGGTCGACCCGTCGACGCGCCGACACTCAAAGATTCGGCATGCTTGTTCGGAAAAAGGCCCACTTTGCCGAAAGTATTTTTCGGAAGAATTTTCTTGTAGAAGAGCGTGCAAAAAGGTTTCTTATCTTGTCAAGACTCCGTAGGCGCTGATACGGGTCTTCGTCGACATCAGCATCATCAGCTACCTCTGATTGCTCTTCTCCGTTACTAGTATATCGCTACGTCATTCGCCTGGAGTGTCCTCGCCATCGCATTATCTGTCGGCGTAAGGCGATATGCATACAATTTGACTTGGCCATGGATTTGGTTCTTCTCAGGTAACTGAGAGGTGGTAGAAATCCGCTCCTGCGTTGGTCTCCTGGAAATGAGGAGGCACCGTTGGCCATGGAGCCTTTGTTTAAAAACGGACATAATATTCGATCTCTTTGGTCCTTAGGCTTGAAGTGTTCAGTGTTGGCGGATTCTAGGTGTCAAATCACGGAACTGGCCCAAACAGCCACAGCCACACGAACACACTTGACATCATACTCACAAGGCTCACCTACCGTTCAATCTGTCTTGTCTTCAGTTTGTCTGCTCATCATGGACAAAAACGTCTTCCTGCTCATTCTGCCAAGATTGGTATAGCGTTTCATTACCGGAGGATGCACCCAGTGTGATGAGCCTGAGAGTGAGAGTGCTCGGAGGCAGAGCGTAGCATGCAGCAAACTACAGTGCTGGCACCTGAAATCCGACCCCCTGAGCGGTGGGTTCAGTCTCTGTTTCGTAGTTTTACCAACCCCTGTTGGGTCTTTGCGATGTGAGCGCACGGCTGAGGTGGTCGGATTTCAGTTGCCAGCACTGTAGTGTAGCATTGCCCTTTTTGTTCCGTAGTGACCATGGTGACCTGGTGACCTGGTGACCAGTCGGCGAGATGTCCTATATTAGGCTATAATATCTACTCTGTAGGACATCGCACTCTGAATGGGTCTGATTGGTTACCTGTCCCAGAGTTGTCATGGAAGCGTCGGTCGCGCACACGCGATGAAAAGAAGTGCTGCGTGAGCATTTCTGAATGTATGTGGAGGATGCACGATCGTAATGGCGATGGATTTCTTTCCGAATTGGTCAAGTTTGAGGGAATAGGCGGAGAATATCAGACATCGGCGGGGATTGAGGTAGTGTATATTCGATTCGCCATCGAATACCCGACCGAATGGCCGTTTTCGTTTGGGGATTTCATGTGGGGTTTCTCGTAGCCACGCGGCGCTTCTTTGGAAACGATTGGTTCTAATTTTTGAATGTTTTTAATCTTTGGAATGTTTCTTCACGCCCCGTGCGTTCATTTCGCCCCAAACCTGGCCATGCAGAGGATCTAGGAGGACGACGAGGCAGCAGGCGCTGGGCCCGTAAATTACTGCCTGGAAGATATTATTTGGCCAAAGCTTGCTGTTGGCGTTTTTGATTTCTTGGATACGACAGCTCTTGGCTAAAACTGGACCTTGGACGGTCTTTCTTGGATATCAACCCAGGACGTGGTGGTCATGGACGTATCGCCATCGCTTTCAGCCAGATCCTTCTGCTGCCTGAAACCAATGGCGAAAGTAAAACTTTATCGCAGCAGCAGCTACTGCTCTGCTGAAAGTGCGAACACAAAATTAATTGCTTCGCCAATCCTCTTGTGCACTTGCAATTTTCAATGCGACCAAAATGATTCGCTTGCCAGTTCCTTTGTCCAGGCGTACTCCACAACGAGGAAAATAAAATTCGTGAAGGCAAGAGGCAAGATACGAATCTCGACTCGCTTGAGGCAAGCCGCCAGGAGAACGACAACTAATTACTTTTGAGACGAAAGGCCTTCGTTGCGTTTGTTTTGAGTTCGAATGTTCATCTTCCTCGGACGCGACACAAAGTTTTGAGTCACGTGTCACGATTACTATGGGAACAGCATAGTATGTATGCTGGGTTCCGTGATGTCCTATCTAGGACATCTCCAGGACTGGTGACTGTCACGTGTGTGTAGCGTTCCGATTCTTTACATCTAAAAACTTACTATATGAACCTTTGTTCCTCTTCCGAAAAAGAGCGAGGCTTTCCAGGAGCTGTCCTGTGTCCTGTATCCTGTGTCCTGTGTCCTGTGTGCTGTGTGCTGTGTCCTGTGTCCAGTGTCCTGTGTGCTGTGTCCAGTGTCCTGTGTCCTGTGTCCTGTGTCCTGTGTCCTGTGTCCTGTTGTGTGCTGTGTCCTGTGTCCTGTGTCCTGTGTCCTGTGTGCTGTGTGCTGTGTCCTGTGTCCCGTGTGCTGTGTCCTGTGTCCCGTGTGCTGTGTCCTGTGTCCTGTGTCCTGTGTCCTGTGTCCTGTGTCCTGCTGTGTGCAAGTCATGAACATGATCGTACTGTAGATCATGGTAGATTCATGCAGAGCCGCTCTCCGACTCTGCTTCATAAACGCTACACCCAACATCGTGGGAGGACTGCGGGAACGTACTGCAGCAGCAGCTCTTCGTCATCGGCGGCAGCGACAACACAAAGCCATTGGCATGCATGGCCAGCATGCAACTCGGCCTGAAAGAAACAGCCTGAACTGAAAGGCTGAAGAACGGAACGAAGGACGTTAGGTAGGCATTGTGACTGTATGTACGTGTACATTTCGTGTACAGATGCCGTGTATACAGTCCCCGGGCCGTGCTCGCCCGGTTTGACCCAACCGGCTCTGGCAGAATAAGAACCGCAGTACTATTTTACTAAACTTCACAACAAAGTCATGGAACGGTAATAGTTGAATGAAGGACAAGGCAACCATGTGCATGTTGCGTACTGCCCTGCAAGACGAATCGTTGCTACAAGAACGTTCTTTGGGCACTTTTAGGACGGAGAAGAGGCCATTCACGCACTAGATGGGGATTTGTATGCAAAAAATCACTAAATGCGCCGTTTCGTTCTTATAAAAGCAAGGATGACCGCCATTGGTTCATAATTATGTTGTAGTCTTTTGGACGCTGAGTCGACTGGTTTGGTCCGAAAAGGCTGCGATGCAGCGTTCGGCCCTTATTCCCAATCGAACACACGGATGAGTAAGCGGTCACGTGCTCATGCGTACACCAGTCACCTGGTCACCGTGCCTGCAGGCTATAAGTAGTTAGTTCTACAGTGTTCCTGTCACTCGAGTTGAACCTTTGAAACTTTGAGTTGAACCTTGGTGCAGGACTCTAGAAAGTTCATTTCTAGAGTCCTGCATTAATGTAGGCCACACGTTTTAATTTCTATGGGCATGTTCGATTGGTAGGATCGGGATCCCGCTCCACCGGATCCACTGGATTCGCACCCTTTCGATTGGTCGAATCCGGATCCTTTGGATTCGGATCCGGTCGATCCACCTCGGGGAGCACGGTTGACCGGATCCAACAGATCCGAATGTGACCTTTGTGCGTATATGGCGGGTCAAAATCATTTTTGTACACATTGTGGCACGCACACACGTGGATCGAGATAGAACTTGTTGACTTTTTGCACAACGCACCCGATGAGCACGACTTTCACCCTTTTGGGTGACTTGTGAGCGCCATTTTATTACTTCGTCAACATGGCAACAGTCAAGGTCCAAAATAAAGCGTTCAGTTGAAGCTGAAGGATCCTACTGATCTGAAATCTGGATCCCGATCTCGATCCTTACCAATCGAACATGCCCATATGTTTCTCGTCACTCGCGTACGATTCAGGAGTCTGCAAGAAAGAAAAAAAGCTGTGCTGCACTATGTGGGGAGTGGGGACCAACACAAAGTGGCCTGGCCTGCGCGACACATGATGCGAGGTCGGCATTTTCATTCGCAATCTAGCTGCACGTGCACAGATTGTGACAGAAGCTCCTACCACATACTACAATGTAGGTCTAGTTGCTAACTACTTATTTATTTATTTATTTATTTTGACTAGTTTGAGGGAAAGACACAAACGGGAAAAGTCTGAAGAAACATTGACTGTCACCACCAGGAGGCATTTATTTATTTATTTATTTATTCACCATCTTGTACATGTCTGCCTATGTTCGCTATTTTACATGGTGTATTGGTCGATTTTAGTATGACCGAAGGTATAATAAACTTTTTTTTATATTTTTCGGTCATTTTTATATATTTTCCACCTCTCGCATACTGCCAACGCAGCACGACATCAGGTGGTACTTCCTCTATCTCTCTGCAAAACTGTGCAGGGAAATCAGTTGTGCTAGGCTCCGCAGACAAGCACTGAGCTGGGAGCGCTTGCAAATAATTCAAAACTTCAAACAGCGATCGATCGCGCTTCTTTGAAATAATTATTTGTTGAGTTGGTAGATACTGGGCCACAATACTATTTTAGTACTTCGAAGTAGTATTGGGAGACTCTTGACCAAGAATCTCGAAACGCGCCCTTGTGTAGAGAGAACCCATGACACTTGAGTGGCCGACAGGTGAGCCAGTTTGACGAACCCTTTTCAGCCGCAAGATCCATGGACCTCTAGAGGCTGAAAAGGGTGCGTCAAACTGGCTCACTTGGTAGGCTGCCGCGGAATGTGCCAGCATAATTTCGGGAATGTGATTTTTAAAACGGGGATTACTGGCAATTTTGTAGAACAATCGGTAAAATTTGAGCAATGCCCCCCTTTTTCTATTTTTTTCATTTATAACACCCTGATTTGTACCAAAAAGCCGGTGATCCTGAAGTTGATCGCCTTGTATTTCAAAAAAGAAAGAAAAAAAAGCTTCCAGCCGAGTCTCAGGCGAACCGTGATTTTTTTGCCCGTACAAGTGGCAATAATACCGGTACTTGGTACAGTATCTGCAAAAAGGAAGACAAAAAAGCATTAGGGGTCGTCCGTAATTATCGAAAAATTAAAAAATCCGTCCTCGTGCAAAATTGTCTCTGACCCACCCACCTACCCCCATTTTTCCCATTAATTTTTCGATTTTTACCGATGCTCGAAAATAAGAACTTATCATATTGATGTTTGCGACAATCGATCCTACACTACGTCTGCAGTACAGTACACAATCAGTGCAACAAGTGTACGAAAGTCATTGAAGTAAAAAGGTAGGAGAATCAAAAAATTCCGCTGCAGCGGTCTTGACCACCCACCCCCTTTTTGCTTGAGGATGGATTTTTTAATTTTTCGAAAATTACAGACGACCCCTTATTGTGAGAATTATTGGTGAACTTACGTGAATAATCGGTGGAAACTTCGAGCAATGTTCAAAGGAATTATCGGTAAAAATACGAGCATACTCCACGGAAGCCTATCTTAAGGTCTCCATCCTTGCCATCGTAAAACTCCTTGGCGTGACGCTGCTCAAACTTCCTGGCGTCTGCCCTGGCTTTAGCCGTTTGGCCGCCACACTTGTATCTTCCAAATCCGGGTTTAACCGTGGGCGCATTGCTACGGGTGCTATAATCTCGTGTCATCTCCCTTGACGCTAAAGTTTCCCCCGATGACATAAATTATTATTTTGCCCAGCTTACTCCCCCCCCCCCCCTTGCAGTTACCCACGGCCCATGCAATCACCCGTACCCATGCGCATGCAGTCACCCATGCCCCATGCAGTCGAGTCACCCAGGCCCCACGCAGTCACCATGGCCACACACACCCCAAAACGTCACCCAGCTGCAATGCGGCCACCTACCTACCTAGTACCTGGGCATTACATGTCATGTACATGTTTGTAGTCGCCCAGCCCCCATGTAGTCACCCACGTGACCCAGGCCCCTTGGAGCTGATTGTACAATCAGTCATGTACTGCTGCACCACTGTCCAGCAGCAGGCCGCCAGTAGTTCAAAAAATAATTTTAAAACTTAAACTGTTTTCAAAGCAAGATTCTTATTCCTCATGTCACGTCATGAGTCATCATGAGTCATAGTATGGCGAGGGTGACCTGGGGAGACCTGGCACAATCACCTGTCACCATGGAGCCCAGGCCAAAGGCTCAGACTAGGCAGAGTCCGCAGAGACGTGTTCACGACACAAGTAGAATATCCATTCCATGATACAAAAATGTATTTAATACAACACCACTGTGTGTGATCTGTATAGGCAGCAGGCACATGCGTCATGCAGCAGGCAAGGCAAAACTAGAGTTGGGACAGCAGAGAACTTGGAAAGGCATCGGAACACTGCACGGAATGAACGCGGGCAAAGAGAACAAGATGCTTCAAGTGCATAGCAGAGAATAGTACATGCACCTGTAACAACATGGGCAATCTGTGAACTGAAGAACAGAAACAGAGAAATCATTCACGGCAGGCACAGATGCACTGAGCTGAGAATCGTAATGAATCGCATCACGATTACATGTTTCGTGCACAAATCGCTAGTAGTGCAATTACAATGAGATAAAAAAATTACTCGCCGGTCAGGGGTGTAACGGTCGAGTAACGTACATGTTTAGTTCTGGGAGTTTAAACTCAACTAAAAATTGGAAAAAACTTCTAAGAAGAACAGTGGAAACTCCACTGCATAACTAGCTGCGCATTTGCTATGCTACATTTGGTGAAAGTACGAGAGTGTATCAGTAACTAAACAGAAGGTATTGTAAGGAATGATTCAAAACGGCACACAGCGCATAGGGAAGAAACGATATCTTCGGAAATTACCAAAAAAATGAATCTGCTCAGGAAAAAAACCCCAAAAAACGGCGAGTTGGAGGAAAGCAAAGCGGGAAAGGAAAAGAGAAATCGCTTTAGTTGATGCATTCTGAAGCATGCACGTGGATGCATCTGACGTGGCTTCACGAATGGGAATAACGACACGTATACAGAGCCAGCAGCAGCAGTGCTGGTCATAGCGAGAAGTAGGGAGAGGGGGTGGGGAGAGGGGGTGGGGAGAGGGGTTGGGGGTTGTTGAGAGGGGAGGGGGTGGGGAGAGGGGGTGGGGGAGGAGATGGGGAGAGGGGTGGGGGAGAGGGGTGGGGGAGAGGGGAGGGGAAGGGGAGAGGGGTTGGTAGGTGAATGAACAACAGAACGAGAAACACCGGATATTGGACAAAAAGGCTACTAGTGTGGCAGTGGTTAGTAAGGGCAGGCAATGGAATGTAGTACACTGTACTAGAACTGCAGCTGGTATCTGTGGCTTTCACAGGAGACCAAGCCACCAGTTAGCATGGAATTGATACATCACAAGGACAAAAATAAGGGAAACGAAAACAAAAATATATCAACCCATAGTGCGGCATGGTGTCTGGTGCTCTCTACTCAGGAAGACAAAAATGCCTATCTGGCAACAGCAACTCGTCATTGCCAAGCAAGAGAGGGCAAGTGGGCATGCAATACTGGACAAGCCATGGCAGTAATACCATAATACGCCATACAACGTGCACAGGGAACTGGAATTGTAAGTGTGCATGGGTCGTTGTGGCAGCGCGTCATGGGACAAACTACAGTACGCCCAGCTTTCCAGGTCAATGGGAAAAAGTGGACACAGAAAACGACGTGCAAAGAAACAAAAGATACGACTGTATCATGAGTAGCAGCGAAGGGATTCAATCCTAGTCCCAACTGTGGGAGTAGGCATGGGCACTGATCTGAGAATGCAACGTCTACAGCAGCATGCAGGCGCAGGATAATGTAAGTGACAATTTAGGGTGGGGGGGGGGAGTAGGGCGAGGGTGGTGAGGGTGAGGAGGGGACGGGGAGGATGGGGGAGAGGAGGAAGGGATTGTGTTTTAAAAGTGCTATGCACAAGGTGTATGCACTCACAGTGCTCAACACGACACACCTAGGGTGACAGGTGCAGCATCTCTGAGCAACATAAGCTGGTGAATGGTGCTAGGCAAAGTCTTCGGCACATGAATGTCCAAACAATACGAAGTGGGAAAATATGATTTCAGCAAAAAGAAAAGTTTAGAATAAAAATGCATCAAGGAACCGCATCCTTTGTCCGATGTGCACGGTGCACAAGCTTTTCGTTGCAGCCTCTGGGCAGTCTGCGCCAGCTGAGTGCAATAATAGCAACCACAAGACATGAGGATACAACTGACTCACTTGGCGGCAAGCTGTGCTGGGAGAGTATGCATCATATCCGGACAGGTGAGACGTGACGTGGCAACTGAAGCCTGCTTCATATGCCACTGTATGCATGCAGGCAAGAAGAAGAAGAAGAAGCAGAAAGAAAACAATCTCTGAGTTGTGAGTAGATGCATGCATCAGACATTGCTGCCACATGGGCTTTAAGTATGGTGGTGATGGTAAGGGGAGGGGAGGGGGGGGGGGGGAGGGGGGGGGGGGCACGCACAGTACAGTTACGTTGCTGGAGACTTGTCAACCCTGTGTAGAGTCACTTACTACAGTAAATATGTACATAAATAAGTCCGTAAGGCAGCAATGCCTGTACCTATGATGAAGTAAAATAGAGATAACATAAGTTATGATGATCTAGGGGTGAAACGGTTACCCTTTTTAAAAGGTTACAAACGAGTATGTGGCTTAACGGGCGGGTTATCGGGTACCCTTTAGCAGCCAATAGTAACAGTTGCTTCCACATTTCGTGCCAGGAGGGCATGCAAAGTCAAGCAATTCACAGCAAGTGCACTACATCACGACAAGCGCAGCATGCGCATTTACTGCGCTACATGCAAAACAGTCAAAACTGTCACATGAAGCAGGATCGAACTCATCTAACAACACTTTCACACTGTACATCTAATTGTTCGACTGTCCAAGCCAGCTACTAATACCATAAGATACCGTCGGACACGACTAACGGGTACTCGCTTGCTAACAGATCAGCAGCTAAACAGACGGGTATCCGGCGGGTACCCGGATAACCCCTAAACATAACATAACGTTCTGATTTTCGAATTTAGTGGTCACGCCCGTACAAACTTTCATTCGGGTACTGACTTTCGGGCACGAACTAACTTTCGGCCCCGACTTGTGTGAAGTGGAGAAGTCACTTTGTGTAGATGTACATGTACAGTCTACACGCTGTATGTGCGAACCGTACCGGTACTGATTTTGGGCAGTACGTTTTATCGGGCTGAACTTGACTTGAACAGATAGACAAAGGTGGTTTTTATTCAGGGCAGGTACATGTACGTACAGTAAAGCCTGTATTACTAAAGACCACCATGACTAGCGACCAGCCTGGTACTACAGACCACTTCGCCAGGCACGGACGGTCTCACATTATGGTTGTGCGGTGCAAACCTGTAACTAAGGACCACCTGTCACTAAAGACCGCTTTCTCTGGCCCCAAGGGCAAGGGGTGGCCGTTAGTCACAGGTTTTACTGTGTTTACAGACGTGTACGGTTTTTCAGATCCTGCATCAGCTGTTTGTTGTTTGGCATGGTTGGGGAAACATAGCATAACGTGTTTTGATTGGTGTCAACTTGCTCCTCCCATTCTTGATGGTGATAGTTAAGTGTCTTGACTGAGCGACCTCTCCCTCTCCTAGCCATGGTCCCATTGCTTTTGTGACAGTCTACAAATCTATTTCGTAATGGGCTGCTCAATAAGATAACCGAATTCAACGGCTTGATGAAGAGGTCTCAAAACTTAGAGTCCATCTTCTCTTGTACTGGATAACCTCTTCTCTCCTCTATGGATTGCTGGCAGTCAGTCAGCCATGTTCGAACACACGGGAAATTCCAAATATTTCCCAGCGCTCTGTTCCGCTGTGCTACCTCATCCATTGCTTTGCGACCCGAAAACATGTTTTCCACCACCAACAAGGATATTTTACCCGTGATAGAGCGTGATGTACTTAGGGGTACCGGTGAATTTGAATGCAACATTGGCGGGATGCCACAACGGCTGAGTGACCTTTTGAGCTGCACATTACAAAAAAACGTTTGTAGACTCTCACAAGAGCAATGGAACCATGGCTAGGAGAGGAAGAGGCCGCTCAGTCAAGACACACAACTGTCACCATCAAGAAAGGGAGGAGAAAGTTCACACCAATCAAAACACGAACACTTGGCACAAGACGAAATGCACGGTTACGCTCCCCCTAACCATGCCACACAATAAGTAGCCGATGCAGGATATCCAACAGTGTATGACTCTACACCCGGCAGAGAAATCGCCAACGATATAACTGCACGACACGTTGCAATAACAGTGAGAAGGATTTGGCAATATACCTAAGATAGTCACACTTGCTGGAGTGCATTCTGAAAACACAGCATCCACTCAATCAATTTCATCATCCCCAGTATCATGCATCCAGTTGACTACGCTATAGCGAACTTGCACATAGCCAATTTTGTGATACAGCGAGCTGTTTTCCCTGTTTGAACCCATACAAATAATTGACCCATTGTAGCAAACGAATTTCGTTAAAAACGAACAATATCTTGAAGGGCCGTATGAAAACCAAGTGCACTCATACAGTCATGGGCCATGTGTCCGAGTCATGATGTGTTGCTTGTAAAGTGTAAGTGAATCATGGTTATAACAAACTTTGGCTATAAGGAACTAATCCTCCTGCACAATGGTGTTCGTTATATCAGGAGTCGACTGTACTTGATACTTCAGTACTTACTTTGAAATAGGGCCAGATAAAGCGAATTTTTGCAGTTTCCAGTAGTGGTCATGGTCGATATAGTCTGCAGAAAGCTCATGGCTGTGTTTTATATGTTTGTTGCTGCCAGTAGCTTTGCAGTCTGCTCCACCGTAACCGCTGCACTCCTGAAGAATGTGATAGTGATCATCCTTAACCACACACATCTCCCAGCAGGTTTTTCCAGTCTGGTCGATCGGGTTCATCGAGCTCTTCTCACACACTCTGAACTCCGTGTTGGGAGCTTTGATCTCGCCATGTAGGACATAATGGCCGTCGCTCTCAGCATGCTGGACCTTCTTGATGCACTTCTCATGACATTGGGGGCATTTTTCAGGACAAAGTTGCCCTACGCAATCCATGCACAGATGCAGTCCACTGTGGTCTTGTATCAAGCCGCAGGTCTGTGGCCTGTTCCTGACTGTTCCATGGCTTCCTGATTCGCATTTTCCATCGCATTTTGACGCACAATGAGAGAACCGGTGTCCATCCCTTACTTTTTGCTGTTGACGATCAGGCAGGGTCTTGTGAAGGACATCCAACGTGCAAGTAGTTGAGTGACCGGCGTGGCACCGTTCTCCACACTTTGAAAAGCCATCACTTGTCGCTGGCTGCTCAAATCCTGCCGCTTGCTCCCAAAAATACCGGTGCGTGCAGAAGTGCAGCTCTTTCTTATGCAGCTGCTCTGATTCAATATGATACCCGTCACCACTGCAATCTGCTTGTCTTGCTTCCGATGTGCATGCCAAGATGTGAAGATGACCCCAACCTGAGTTCTGACAAACGTTTTCGCATGAATGTGCAAAATCTAGAAGTATGGGCAATGTTTGTTGCGCGGTGGCAAAGGTCTGTAGCTTCTGTCTGCCGTCCATTCGGATCTGGCCATGTGCTGCTCTGTGTAAAGTTGTGGCGTCGTGTGGTGGGAGCTCGCACTGAGCACCACAGAATGGACAAGGTGTAGAACAGACATGGCTATCCCCACATTTATGCTTTTCATGCCCCTCGTGAAGCACGTGATCATGAGCACGAGTGCAGGTTTTTTTACAGTCTGCAGCAGAGCACAGTGCAACGCAATCGTGCAAATCACACCGATGATCCTCATGGGCAGTGCCATCCCTGCGGTCTAGTATCACGTCACACTCCCCAGTGCAGAGGGGTTTACCGGCAGTGGTGGTTTTTGATTGCCGATTGACCTCACAGCGTTCTTTGCACCTATGGGCTGTTTCCGCGCAGAGGCACGGGCCAGCATGATGCTCACGCCGGTCATCACAATCCTTGCCGCAGTTCCGCGATACCTCCTTATACACGCAATGTCCTGAGCACGGATGAGAGCACTTGAACATGTGTCCAGTAGTACTCTGTGGTAGTAGACCAGGGTTAGCTCCTGTCACCAGGGGACCAGCGTGAAGTTGTCTTCCTTCACAAAACACAGCATCGCCACCATGCTCCTCATGCTGGCATCGGGCATGGCAATGGTCGAATTCCGCAGTCTCATCTTCAGAGTATGGGTCCACAAAACCAATAGCTTTCCAGAACTGGCTGTGGGTGACTCGCTCGGTGAAGGTAACGTCGAGGCTCTCTGTTGCTGATTTATCCACTCTGACTTTGCAGTGGTGGTGCTCTCGTTTCAGAGAGGAGCACACGGTGCTGCAGGTGATCACTGATGGTGGACTGTCAGGTGTTTGCTGAGCTATAGGTGGCACCATGGATTCATCCTTTGTGTCCACAACTCTCCAAGGAGAAAGCGCATGCTCCTGTATCTCTGCTGGCCGAAGAGACCGGAATGTTCCATGTGTTGTGCTGTGCAATTCACCGTCAGCATGAACCACCTTATCGCAGCACTCTCCGCACGTTGGACAAAAGGCATTGCAGGTATGTTGCAATTGGGAAGCATCATCATGATGTGCATGCTCTCCACCGTGTTCCGCTTGGCCAGTTGGAATTATGCGTTTGCAGGGCAGCCTCAATGCTGGCAATGTTCCATCCTTCACCAAAGCTATTTTTTGATCTGAATCTAGCTTACTGAAGAAGGGCAGGGTGCAGTTGCCTTCGCTGGTGTTGCACTTGATATCTTTGTTACCAGTACGCTTCGATTCAGAGCAGATATGAGTTGCACCACAGTCATGAACAGTGGATCCAGTAGGATGGTGGAAATGATCTTTAGCTTCACAGTCAGCATCGCAGTGATCGCATTTAGCAGTGCACTTTCCAATGCCACAGTTGCATTTCTGCTTCTTATCATGACCCATTTTCAATTCACATTTGTTGCTGCAGTCGGTTCCCCTGCATGTTTGGTCACATTTGTGCTCCTTCTCGCAGTCGTGGCCCCTTGAATGCTTGAGTGGCCGCATGCAGTGTTCCACACATGGACCGTATTGATTGGCCTGTCCACAAGGATCATTACATAGATGATTGTCGCATGGAAAGTGATGACCATTGTCAGCAAAGCCAGGCAACTCAGGTTTGCCAGATTGTGGAACTGTCTGATGATACAGAAGCTGTGTGCAATACACTTTATCTTCCCCGTGCTCTTGATCTCTTGGGCAGGGTGCGGGACACTTGTCAAAACCATTTGCTGGGTCTACACTGGGGTCGGCAAAGCTGTGGACATCCCAGAATAGGGCATGGGTCACTTTGCACTTTATGCCCACCCGCCTGTAGCTTTCTTTGATTTTGCCTTTGTTATAATGCGCTGCTACCAGGTCGTAGTCTGGGACATGACTGTGTGAGCGACTTTCTTCGAGGCTACCACAGACAGTATGGCAGGTTGTATCATCTGGCAGTTGTGAAGGAGTAGAGCCATTTCCATTGCGGAGACTAGCCCGAGCACTGGACAGCACAGCACCGTGCTGTGATACTAGATGCTGATCATGCGTTGTAGATCCCGCTGTTTCACAGTGGAAGCCACACAATGGACATGTTTTGTCACATCCGTGCGCCTGCTGACAGCTGTGTTTCACACCAGGATGTGTGGTTTTTCCAGGTGGCACTGGTATGTTGCAGAAAAGCTTGAATGCATTGCCAGCAATCTTCTCAGCATTGGGATTCTCGCTGATGAAGCTTTCTTTCTCTACTTCTGGGACAACTTTGCATGGCCCAGGCTCGTTGCATGCTACCTTGCACTTGTGGCTCTTCCCGCAGTGGTGTTGCAGAGGGCTGGAGTCTGAGACTTTATGACTGTCATCCATAGAGCATTGCTTTGCGCAGTCCTCATCTTGGCATTGCTTGGGACAGGTGTGTGCTGATTTGCACTTGCAAGGCTGCGCACTCTTGTCATGGCCGTCCAGTAGAGTGCAGGTGCCTTCACACCGTTGTCCATCTTGAAACAGTTCACACTTGTCACCGCAGACGTGCTCTTCGCATTCGAACCGATGGCCTTGTAACTGTCCATGCCGCTCTTCAGCAGTGAAACCTCGTTCTGGCTCGGCCTCCGGGTTGTAGAGTTGATGATGAATTTCACCAAGGCACTGCCTGTTTTCAATGCCGTCGTGGCCAGGCAGTGTGCACACTACTGGGCAGGCGTTGAATAGGCGCGACTCCCCTTCAGGATATGGATCCAATAATGACAGGTTGTCCCAGAAGGTCCTATGAGACACTTGTCTTGCCTTGGTACGCGAGATGGAGGTGCTGCTGGCAGCATCCACATCGTAGATGAGATGAGAATGAGATGGCCCAGCAATCTTACATAGCTTGTCACAGGTGATTGCAGCATCCGGCAGTTGCACTTCTCTTCCATCCTTGCCCAGTAAGGCGATCTTGGCAAGGACCTCTGGCTTGATGCTACCGTGAGTCACGGAGCAGGCAGTGCCAGTGTGGTCGTATGGACGTGAACAGCAGTGTCCACACATGCTGCAGGACTTATTACAGTGGTGGACAACACCACAGTCGTGGGACTTGTCATGCTTTTGAAGACGGGGTGGTATGGGAATCTTGCAGAATGAGTTCCTGAAGCCGTTGGGATATGCGGTTGCGGTGACGTTCAGAGGCTGTTCGTCACCACCCGGTGAGAGAATAACACAGACTCCTAGTGCCTCACAGGGCTGGTTGCAAGTGTGTTGCTGCTTACAGTGGTGAAATACCGACGATCGGTCGGCAGTACCGGTAGTTGGGTGTAGGTGGTTCACGTCGTAGGCACAGTATGGAGGATCACTGCTGTGCGGCAAGATACACGGCTTTCCGCAAAGACCATACTCCTTCTGCTGCTCTGGAGAAGCTGGGTCTTTGAACTTCATATCATGCCAGAATTTTGCATGAGAGCTGATGCTCTTCTTAAAATTCATGTAAGCACTACCGATGTGTAAGTGGCCTCGTCCTCCTTTCTCGCACATATCTTGGCATGTTACACCTCCTTCAATGTGAACCTCGTCGTCAAGACCGACCGAGAGCTTCACGGCTGTCACGATTGTCCCGTGCTGGACCTGATGAAGAGAACCGCTCTTGTGGTGTCCAGCGTGTAGTTCACAGTGACGTTTGCACAGTGGGCATTGCTCCTTGCAGGTATGAGATTCGGCGGAACACTCATGTTTCCCTGCGTGCATTTTCTTTCCGGCTGGTAACGGCTTCACACACTTCAGGTGATATCCGGTGGTGTTGCTTAAACCAGAGACAAGTGCCCGGCTATCCTCTGGTGCTTTCCCGTGGATAGTTGTGACATGGCACACACCATCCATGTCACAGTACTTGGCACACGAGTGCCGCTGATTACAATGGTGTAGCCCTTTGTTCTTTGTGGAGTGAACATGGTCAGGTGCGTTGCAATCCGCCGTGCAATTACCAATTTCACACCTGTTCTCACATCCAGTAGCATCACATTTATGGTCCGCATGCTCGTAGTAGTCATCTTGGGTACACAACACCTTGCAGCCAGGAGCTTCACATTCCACGCGGCATTGGTGGTGCTCTTTGCGACACCTGCACCGGGACTCGTGATCGTGGCGGAAGAACCGACAGGCCACGTCCCTCGCCCTTTTCTCGCTCTGATTTTCGTCGCGGGAGCAGCGGAAGCATGCCTCTGCACACTTGTGCTTGGTGGAGCAGGCAAACCAGTGGCCGCACAGCTCCCGCCCATTCTCGTCAACTCCATAGATTTGCAGTCCGGTGTACATCAGAGATGTGGCGGCGGTCGCGTTGTCTAGCTCCGGTTTATCGCTCAGCTCGTGGAATAGTTTCCCTTGGCAGTAGACGTTGGCCTTAGGTCCGTGTCGTTCCTTTGCATTGCACTTGACCGGACAGCCATCCAGGAAATCACGGTCTTCCGGACACGGACAGTCAAACCGAAACGACTCCCAGAATGCGGAATGTCTCTGTGACTTCTCCCCCAGCCTGCAGTGGGCATGGCCACGCCCTGCTTCCTTGCACAACTGCCCGCAAGTTCGCTCGCCAGAGACTTCGACGTTACCGCTGACACCGTTGCGAACCACACAAGAGTCATTCCGGTACGGGCCATGTTCATCGAGGCGGTGATTGCCTTTGTGATTGATATCTCGTGTGCAGTAGCGATGGCAGCCCGGACACTGGACAGTGCAGGTGTGCGTGTTGCGACAGGAGTGCTTCTCCTCGTGTTCTATCTCTCCGATGGGTTTCTTGATGTCGCACACCAAACGATACCCATTTCCATCACTGGATCGCCGCTTGTGTTTCTCAGGATCCACCGTAGTAGGATCGGATGCAAGCATGCAGATGCCATCCTCCTCGCAAAGCTCCCGGCACTCGTGACGAATGCCGCAGTGATGCGGTATTGGCTTATCTTCACCACCGTGCAAGTGATCGATTGGCTGACCGCTTTTGGAGCAGTTCGCACCACAGTCACATTTCATGCAGCACCTATCGATTCCACACCAGTGCAGCTCATGATCATGTTGATCTTCAGAGTTATGCTCCTCGACGCGCCGTACACAAGGCTCTCCACAAAGACCGGACTCCAAAGTAGCTGGGCACGGGATGCCACAGACGTGCTTTTCAGCAGTCTGACACGAGCACACACCGTGGTGACCCACAGGCTTGGAACACTGTGAACGCTCCGTGCCGCGCATGCATTTCTCCAGTTTCTCGGGTAGAGTGCAGAGTCCGTTACACATATGATCCGGCTCTCTGCTGCACGGGAAATGGTGGCCTATGTATACGTTGTGCTCGTTGCCGCGGCTTTGTTTTCGCTCGACGCCGTCGATCTCCTCCCTCACTGCCTTTCCTGTGTAACCTTTGTCGTCTGGCTTGTGTTTCTCATCAAACGCTTCATGCCACAAAGAGCCTGTGCAGTAGGGTGCACTGGTCGCAGGATGTCTTGGGCATTGCATAGGGCAACGGTCAAAGTCGGCACTGCCCGCATTCGGATCAACGATATTCAGCCTCTTCCAGAAGAATGTGTGATTCACAACCTTGTGATTGTCCCCGTCTTGTTCCTGGCGTGGAAAGAATGGCCTATGGCCAGAGGCAGAGGTGTCAAATGCGCTGGAACGTTTGGCCAGCAATGACACAATATCCTTGGACAAGATATGTTCGTGACCCCGCATGTAGTCCTTGCCAGGGCAGAGCTGATCGCATCTTGGCGGTGTATCATGGGACACCAACTCATGCGTTCGGCCATTACGCACCCTGGCAAAGCGACTGTTCCGGATCTGTCCGTGCTTCATATCGTGCGGACCCTCGTGGTCCCAGCCGAGACGACACACCATGCTGCACAGTGGGCAGATCTCCGTACACGTGTGATCTTTCTGTTCCTTGCCACACTGGTGATTGCCGCTATGCGTCAGGGTCATGGTGTCCAGTGTTGACCCGCAGAACATCTTATAGCCGTTCACACCGATTCGCTGCTCCTCGTCTCTGCAGATGTTGGGGTTTAACTCTGACTCCGAGTTGTTGGCTATAGCACACACACCTTCAGCTTGACATACGTCTGGACACTTGTGATCTGTGGCACCACACGTGTGTAGGTCATGGCCTTGCCCCTTGTCGATATCGTGCAAGCAGTATTTCTCGCACCGTGCTCGAGAAGTCGGTCGAAGTTGGCACTGCTGCGCACACGTGTGCCTTTCAGCGGAGCATTTGTGTTCGGCTTGGTCATCGCCAATATGTTCATCGTCCCTGCTGGATTCTTCGTGCAGAGCATCCTTGTAGCATATTGAGCTTTCCACCTGCGTGCGATCACCATGCTTGTGAACCCAGGCATCCATGTAGTCGCACGGCTCCTCACACTTGTGCTGTGGAGGCACGTCACCTCCTTCTTGCCAGCACTGGCAACGACGGCTCTTGTGACCTGCTCCCGCCATACACTGGCCGGGCTCGCCTTCCCTGGTCTTCTTCTTCCGACAATACGTGCAAGGTCTGCCGCAGTAATGGTTGCCTTGCTTGCCGTGATCAAACAGACAGTCATGCTTGTCGCGATGACCACGCGGCTGCAGGCAAAGCAGGTGACAGGGCTTGTAGGAGCATGGTTGGTCGCAAGGCTCCCAGATCGACTCGAAGAAGCTGAAACAGGATTTGGTTTCTGCTTCAAGGTCGAGGGTTCCCCTCAGTCCCTGCCTGTGAGTGTGGGACGGTGCCTTCACGGCTCTTTGCCGGCGCTTGCAGAGGATGTCCAGCGCTGTCTTGGTCTGAGTGTGGAGAGCGGCCGGGCCTCGAGACCACCAGTCTTCTTCAGACTTCAGTACCGCTCTTGCGACATCAACACGCAGAGCATTGATCATGGCGCGGGCAGCATCGCTCAGCAGCTTTTCGACACCGTCGAAGCACTTGTCTATATCGGAACTATCCATGTCCACTTTGAAATCGAGTGGTAAGCCGGCATCCATGGACCACTTATACTTCTGCGGTCGATGGAACGGCTCCACGACCTCGCCGTCGATTTTTAACTCTTGGGTGCCGCTGTTGCAAGGTTTGCCATTCCACTCTCCACTTCTTAGCGCGGTGAGCAAGAGCTCGAAAAACTCTATGGTTTCACGGTGATGGACTTGGCTGAGTTTCAGCGATGTGAAGCTAGTACAAGCAGTGGCAGCAGCGCCCAGCATCAAACACAGCGAGTCGTGGAAACCGGCTGACTTGAAGCACGGCGTCGAAAGCTCGCCAAGGTGAGCCGTTATACGTTCCGCCGCAAACTGTCGAACGCATGCCTCGCGCTGCTCTGCCTCAAGCTGAACTTCGTCATAATGCCGCTCATCGTAATCGCCGAAGAACTCGCTGAGAGTATCTTGATCCTCTGGGTCAAGGTGACAGAGTTTCTGGGATCCATCTTCGTCGTTGCTTTGCCGAGACGTGGACAGTACGAGGAGACGGCCCGTAAACAGGCCGCTGTCAATTTTCTGCGGGTCTAGCTTGGACTCCTTCTCCTTCGGATCAACCCAGAGCGATTTCATATGCTCTTTCATCTGCTGGATAACCGCCACAAGCCGTTTGACTGCACCCACTGGATTGTCAGAGCAGACGATGAAGACATTGCTTAGTGCTACTGCTGGTAAGAGTAGCGGCATGGCTGCGTCCTGGAAAGGTTCCTTGGATTGAGAGAGCAGATGCAAGCCTTCGAAGCAGAAGAAGTTGTGCACCCTCATGTCGAGAAGGCGCGTGGAGAGAAGCAGTCGAGCATGTTTCCGCTGCTCCACCTCCGGTCTCCTGCCGCGTCCCGGTTTAATGGCAGCAACCTTGGCATCACCCGGTATGCTAGCGGCCATCATTCCGCCAGAGCACATGTTGGCAATAGTCATTGCACTGAGTTCGTCGTCGGTCAATACGGTTGTAACATACGTCGGGTCACTGCGGTGACGTAGCTCGCTCGCCAGTGGACTCACTTCGATCAGATTGTGCACAACGTCCACAAACTTAGCTCGCTGCTCGACTGGAACAGGATTGGATGCAAAGCACTGACGACAGATTGCAGATGAGGCGTCACCATGGCTGCTTGCATCCTGGGGTAGTGGGTCATCAGAGTCGAGTGAGACGGTTGAGAGGACGGAGAGGCTGGGACCGAGGGCCATGTTGGTGAACAGCTGGTCAAACTGGACCATTGGCTGGCGCGGCAGCCTGCGAAGGTCAACTCTGTCCATCGGCTGGATGATAGGACCTTCGATGATCGGTACGTTCCCCATGTCGGTCGTGCCAGGAGTTGCAGTGGCAGTGGCAGTGCGTGGGGTGTTTGATTGTCTGCCGTTGGTGATGTTGAAGCAACTCCTGATGGCTTCTTCCTTGCGTGCGTCATTTTCACTTGGAAACTGTACCATCTGGTAGGGCTGCGTGACAGCTATTGCAAGCCGCCGTGTTTGCCAGGCAAGCGATCCTTTGCAGCCGTACCACGCATACTTGAATCGAAGAAGCTTGAGAGGGTTGTTCGGGTCGAGTTGCTTGGGATGCCGCTTCAGGTTGCCGAACTTCTCCTTGAACACGATCCTGGTGCCATTCCTGGAACGGCGCATTCCCGCTGCATCTCGATCCCATGGCCAGTCGTGATCAGTGAATGCCAGTAGGACAGAGTCGGACGCATCCATCGTAAGGTTGAGAAGTTGACAAGCCGTGCTGATGGGCTCATGTTCGTGCAGGTTAAGGACAAGGTACGCTTCACCCGTCGTGTCTGTGACGTTGTCCACAAAGCACAGGACGCTGGACCCTGGCTCCACGTCGACCAGGTGTGCCAGAGATTTGCCGTCGGCAATCTGGTGGCCATGCAGGATGCCTTCGATGCATTCTCGGTTCCCGGCCATGACCAGCACCTTCAGGTTTGTGTACTTCATTGCGGATGCAGTGCCGTCGTCGTCTGCTGGCTGCTGCCCGTCGACTGCCTGCCCTCCTAGCTTGCTGGTACACTTGCCGACCTTCTCCAGGGCAATGCGCAAGTACCTGATGGCATCCCGGTCCACCAGTATCGGTGGCGTTTCCACGATGGCAGGCCCCGGCCTAGTGAAGTCCAGCTTGATGGCATGCTCCTCTTTGCCCAGTGCCGTCGAGTACCACAGTCGCTTGGCGGTTTTCTGGCTCTTGCCAACTGCAGAGGGAACAAGCAACGCACGCAAAGACAGACACAAAGTATAAATATACAAGCCGGAATCCACTGAGTGTCGGATGCAGTGCACATACCGCACACTGTCAGCTCAGTTCTTAGATATATGCAAAAGTGCCATTCATGCTCGACAACGGGATGGGTAGAGGGGACAGGCTTGGTTGGAGATAAAAAATAATACATTACGGTCATCAAAATATGAGCCGCGCCAAGCTAAAAAGTGGCTTCGTGTTTTGCCAACAAATCGAGAAAATCACCAAAATGTCACAGTTGGCAAATTTTACTCGAGTGCGATCGCGAAAATATTCACTTTCAAGTTTGCAAGCGGATGAAGAGAGAAGCCTTTTATGTTTGAGCAACACTTCTTCAGTGTTCCCTCTGTCATCGTTGTGGGGATTCCTCAGCGCTGCCAGAGATCGTAATGGAGCTTCTGAGAGAGAATGTGGAGGTGAGCCGGATAACATTCTGTATCCGTGTGCGCCATAACCTACTTGACGAGGAAGAGTCGCTCATTCATAGTGGCTGTGCTTCTTATCGTGGTCACGACTAGAGCGGCGAGTGTAGCTATGGGGAGACGTCTACAAGCCTTCTGACTATCATTCTGACAAGCAGCCTGGTGAGTTGGCTCTTCCTGCGATCATTTTTTTGTTTGTTTCACTTTGTTTCGGCTACCTTCAATTTAGTGTTCATGACATGACGTACTGGATTCCAAAATTTCCTCGTTTCAAGGAAATAGTGCCACACAACGAAGCGATGCATTGACTCTACCTGCTAGCATATTGTCCCGTGGCGCCTTCTACCAGTATCCTTGGCAGGGAAGGAGAATGACATGGACTAGGACGGACAAAGAACCAGTGCCACGTGTTAGCGATGTGCGGTCTACTGGACCTATATGTAGGTGCGAGAGCACTACACCAATGGACCTAGATCTCTGGCACAGCACCACGAGCTACATGAAAGGATTAATTCATCCTGGCATAGGTGATTGGAGAGAGTATGACGGACCGTCTTGGTAAGATGCGACGTTCCCCAACGCAGCGAAACATATAGTCACAACATCATGATGAAGGATATGAAAATTCGTATTGCGTGATAAAATGGCATGAGTCATGATGAAAATTTAATGTAGATCTGTTATTTCTTCTTTCTTGGATCTTCTAATTAGAACACAAGTGCTCATTCTTCCTGTATTGCTTGCACACCTGCTAAGCTTTGTCTCTACTTGGTGTCCCATGTTTTCTTGGAGTTTGGGAAGGTCTTGGAATCCTTAAATGTCATTGATACCAGGCACTCGCGCTATTCCGCCGACTTAACTTGACACTTGACTGACTCACGACTGCCACCCAGAGCACACGAGAAGTCCATCGAACCTTCGACTCGACAAACCTGCAAGAAAGCACCACTCCCTGCTCAATACACAGTGTTTCGAGGAATTCACCCCTCATCAGTTGAGCTTGAGTAGGCTGAGGAAGATTGTGCCTGAAGAGCACCACTTATATAGTGCTCTCCAGGCACAAACATCACCAGGGATACAAACTTACAGAGACGCTCCGTTTCCAGCGCGACAAACACCCCGTGAACACCAGATAGCAGCGTGAGTCAGTGTCGCTCCTGGACGGTGAGACAGACGTCGAGGACCCTCGGTCATTCGCAACGCTGTCACCTCCAAACCAACTAGTCGCAAGCCCGCGCTGGGCACAACAGTACGAAGTAGTGGTTGCGACTTCGGCGATGATTTGTAAGAAAGGGTTTGCTCCCCACACCGGAGCTCGCGCTATTCCGCCGACTTTACTTGACACTTGACTGACTCACACACTGACTCAAGCTGCCATCTGGTGTTCACGAGGTGTTTGTCGCGCTGGAAACGGAGCGTCTCTGTAAGTTTGTATCCCTGGTGATGTTTGTGCCTGGAGAGCACTATATAAGTGGTGCTCTTCAGGCACAATCTTCCTCAGCCTACTCAAGCTCAACTGATGAGAGGTGAATTCCTCGAAACACTGTGTATTGAGCAGGGAGTGGTGCTTTCTTGCAGGTTTGCCGAGTCGAAGGTTCGATGGACTTCTTGTGTGCTTTGGGTGGCAGTCGTGAGTCAGTCAAGTGTCGAGTAAAGGCGGCGGAATAGCGCGAGCTCCGGTGTGGGGAGCAAACCCTTTCTTACAAATTATCGCCGAAGTCGCAACCACTACTTCGTGTTAGCTGCACCGGGGTTTAAGCCCTTTTGGGCCCAATTTTCACGGTTCACATCAGACTCGGCTAGAGGCCGAGTTTTCCGCATCCATAGAAACACCACCACCCTTCAAGGATCAAGGCACAGATGCAGCTCCTACTAATGCGGTGGGAGGTGAGTAGATCAGCTCACTAGCAAGTGGTCAAAGACCGAAAATCCAATTCACTGCATCCATGTTTTCCAGCCGTTCGACACACAGTTAAATATAATTTGGGCCCGATACAGTCAACTTCGTTTATAACGACATTCGGCGGGGCATCAAAAATGTGTCCTTATTCGCGAAGTGGCGTTATACCCGAAGTCTCATTATATGTATTACAGTTAGATGGGACTTTGCTCTGGGCATGGACATTCTGTCGTTATTCGCGAATTGTCGTTATATCCGCAGTCGTTATTAGCGAAGTTGACTGTATTTAAAAACAAAATTGACATTCGGAGTATACGCCGCACGTGAGAATTTGATTTTTGGCGACCTATGTTTTAAAGTGGGTACCGGTACATACAAGGCGTTACAAGTGGTTAAAAAGTTTCTGAAACACGACTGAAGTTCTGGCAAAAATGCTAGTTTGTCCTACACTCCGAGCTGACAAGATGACTGGTTACTCATGCTGCCCTCTGTTGCCCCGGCATGCGTTCAACCAGATACAACAGCAACTCGTAACAGTATGAGACCAAGAACTTTCTCCTCTGAGATAAAACTGCAAGAACAAAAACTGTAAACTGCTTCCTACAGTTCAAAACTGACAACTAAAAAACTTCAAAGGCATGGAAGTATACATTCTAGAATGACCAAAGCGAGAGCGCAATCGCAGCCTGCGAGTATCCACAGGACTGTGCACAAATGCAAAGACGAGTGAATATATTACGACTAGATAGCATGGAGACAGCACATGCATCAAACGATACGCTACTTGAATCTCAGACAATGCAAAGGTTGAGACTGGCCTGCGGTAACAATAGTCAATACATCAGGCGCCAGCAGCATGCACTAGAATAAAAGGAATGAAACCTGAGTACAATGAAAGGTCATGCAAGATTCACCACAAGCTGGGAATAACAGTTATTCCAGAACAATGACATTGCACAGGCTTTGTGCTGGTGCAAGGATGCACTACAAGTACATGAACAGTAGTCGAATGACAATGTAAGTCCGTAAGGCATGTGATGGCCATTAGTGCGCTGTAGCGCTGATCGCACAGATTTTGAAGAAATACCTGACACCAGAAACAGTGGTACAGGAGGCGCATCCATTGAAAACAAACCTTGGAGCTTTTACAAGAAAAAGTTGGCAACGATGTCAAAAATTACGCTCTTGAATTTTCGAATCTATTTTGCTCTTTCTTTCCACACATGAGTAGTAAATTGCCATGCTCCGGGTTCGTTGTACCTGTTACTTTCATGTCCTTAGTCAATTTATCAGACAACTGATATTGTCGAGCCACAGTATCTCCTTTTGTCCCTAGGTGGAACTCATTCACTCACTGTGACAGCTTAGCCAAGAGACCCGGGATATTTAGCAAAGATAAAACTTGACCAGAAGAAACACGGAACCGAGGCGCAAAACGAGGGGCTAAAAAAGTGAGGTAACTTGGATTGGTGCACAGACAGAGGTTGCTTGGCTGCACTGCTTTGTCGTAAGAAGCTGTGACCCCCTCGCTCTTGTACCCTGCTTTTCAGTTTAGTTTTGACTGTGCTCAATAGCCAACCAACAGAGGTTTCAGAACCAAACAGTCATAGTGGTCAAATGAGATCCACACAGGGATAAAAGGAGGCAGAAATTTAGCCATGTCCACTAATGCTTGATCGGTACAGACATCGACACCAATTTTTTACGGCTCACGGCAAAGTCAGTGGAACATTGAGCTTTTCGCAGGAGGACTATCACCGTCAAGAAGCAAGGCGTACATCCAACTCCCATTCGAAGAATGATGCAATGACATTTTGTTGTTTGTTGTTTGTATTCTTTATTTAGAGTGGGAAGTCCAAAATAGGCCCTAGCCTAATAACAATGGTCCCACTAGTGAGGGAGTTCTGTATATCTGTGGATAAGACATCTTATCACCATTGCATGTTCTGGTTTTGTTCGCTTACCCGGATCAGTCTCCTACATACTATCGGATGCGCCGCACGTGTTCTTTATTTTACGCTGAATGGACTATAGTGTATTCTCGACTGGTAGTGTTGAAATCACATGGGTATGGGGGGGGGGGAGCAAGGCATGGCACACTATCTTTCCAACATCAACGAAGAAAGAGAAAGGCAGAGAAAGGAAGAGAGCAGCAAGAATGAATGAAACAGACAGACAGACACACAGCCAGATTCAAGTCGACAGAAAGACACATCCATAAAATTCAAAGGTAGCAAGGCTATGTACATGTACGTACCTCCTTCGAAATGCTGCTGTAGCAGGTCCTTAGCAATGTCCTTGACCTTTCCAGGTTGTTTGTACAGAATATACAGGAAGTCCTTCTGCTGCGTTTCCGACTTGTGCTGCATCAAGTCCAGCAGGTAGCCAGCCTGATCGACTGGGTCCTTTCCTCTCTCTTCAATGTCGGTTTTCTGACTGAAGCTGACCACGTCTTTGGTTCTGAGGTCGGTGAGGAAATCTCGTACCAGCATGCATTGACTCAAGTCGTGCAGGTTCGGGTAGATGATCTGGGCAAAGGTATTCGCATTGCAAATCGATAGGAGGTCAATGATGCTCAAGCATAGCAGTAGTGATGTGCCACGAGCCAAATATTCGCCATGAATAATTTTTCAGAAATATCAGCACCCGTTTCTGGAGGAATATTCATGCCCCCCCCCCACACACACACACATACACACACCACCACCATTCAACAATTTCCTGTGAAACTACACAGGGTGCTGAAGTTGCCACTTCTTCGAAGAAGATTCCAATAGTTTTCCCACATCATAGAACACTTCTACTATTCATGTTGAAATTGAGTACGCCGTGGCTAAGGAAAAAAATCTTTGAAAAGATTTACCTGCATATATGTGCACTCTTGGACTTACCTTCCGATACATCTCTTTCCCCGGATCTTGACGGGCCCTGGTAGTACATACAGACAAACAGATCACAGGTACACACACATATACACAAACACACACACACACACACACACACACACTGCTTATATCACAAAGGAAACCGATGTGTAGCTTGCTGAATTGGCTGACTCACCATGTTTCTATGCTGACAAGTTTCAGGGAAAACTGGTGTCAGGTGCCATCACATGCGCCCTCTAAGTGAATGACCGTAGCCTTATGCACAAAATCAATTCCCAATAAATAACCCCTAAGCCTACATTAGTTCACATTATTTAAAATAATAAAATTCCATGGTTTGCTTGAGACTCGGTCAGACTGAGTTTTCTGCATCCGTAGGAGCGCCACCACACTGCAAAGATCAAAGGCGCAGATGCAGCTCCTAAAGCGGTGGGATGTGAGTAGGTCAGCCCACCAGCAAAGTGGTCTAAGACCGAAAATCCCATTCACTGCATCCCTGTTTCCCTCCTGCCAAGCCACGAGCTCCCAAATAACTGTGGGTCGCAGCACAGCTGGAAAACATCATTCCGCTTCCAAGCAGGACTTGAACCTGGCGCCCTCCGTTTCTCAAGCATGGTCTCAGACCATCCCACTATGCCTGCCTGCTCGTTTTGCTTCAACTGCTTCAACAGACTTGGCATCCCTGTACATAGTTCACGTGTACAGGTAGGTCACGTGACTAGCTAGTCACATGACCTACCTGTACATAGTTCACATGTACAGATAGGTCACGTGACCAGCTAGTCATGTGACCTACCTGTACATAGTTCACATGTACAGATAGGTCACGTGACCAGCTAGTCATGTGACCTACCTGTACATAGTTCACATGTACAGGTAGGTAATGTGACTAGCTAGTGACGTGACCTACCTGTACATAGTTCACATGTACAGCAGGGGCGTACGCCGCTCGTCTCCAGGAGTGGTTCCCATGCCAACTGATGAACCAACATTCCACACAATTGAAGTGCTGTTTTTCGTATCCTACGGAGTTTCTGCATATTCTCTTCAGACTGGGTGAAATTAACATCCACAAGCTGCTGGAAGATGTCATTGCTATGCATTTTTGATTTTAAAAGACTGAACTTTCCCCGTTTTATGGATGTTTTGTTCAGCACGACAATTGCATGCAGTCTTGAAAGCGGGCTTAGTAAGTTTCGAATCATCTGGAGCAAACATCACACAGGGCAAGCAGAAGCCACCATTGCACGCTGGTCAAAAGACTACACAGGGTAACTCCTCCAACAAGGATAGTTGAAAGCGGTGCTGTTTGCCATCCGTCTGGACACGCCCTGGAAATGAAATCCTTCGCCTTCGGTGGCGCACAATGATTGTCGATGACGGAAATCTTTTCCGTGTCCGGCAAATTTCGGGGGACTGGATTCCACTGTGGACGTAGACTTTCAGAATATCCCTTCCAACACATATCCCTTCCAACACGCTCCCATGTCACTGAAGTAAGTTTTGGATGATCCAGCAGCTCTACAGCTTCGCCGACGATTTCTTCCTCAGCGCTGCTCGTTGCATGCAGACTTCGCTTGCAAGTCAGGTGCGTCTGCATTCTCATCTATCGCTTGACCTGAATGGAGCGCTGGCCCTCTGGATGTTGACACTTCATTTTTCTTTTCCACAAAGCGAAAGCATCGTCGAAAACACGACCAACTTTGTCAAAACAAACTGCAAAGGAAAATTTGACTCGGAGATCGAGGAATCCGGCGATGTAAAGTAGCGACTTTGTTGAGCCCAGTTCAGTCAGTAGACCCATGGCCCAGTCTACGCTGTGTCCCAGTCCCAGCACCACCTTTACACCTGGGCTAGATCAGGCGGACTCCAGGCATGCACTGCGAGCGCTGGGCCTAGGGACCGGCGGATTATGCTCGAAAAGGTGGCAGATTCTGCTCGAAAAGCAGTGAAATTGGCAGAACCATACAAACCTTATGGCGGGCAATTCCTCGGATTCTGCTCCATTTCTTTATCCACATACCAAACATGCATGAAACTTACCAGAAAAAGTACCGAATTCTGCCAATTTTTCTGCCGGCAGAATCCGCTGGACCCTAGCTGGGCCTGGGCCTGGATCAAAAAATTCTCCGTACCCATATCGAATTTTTTTTACTGGTTCCCGGGCATCCCGGGAACCGCCCTATGCACGCCCCTGTACAGGTAGGTCACATGACTAGCTAGTCATGTGACATACCTGTACATAGTTCACGTGTACAGGTAGGTTATGTGACTAGCTAGTCACGTGACCTGCCTGTACATGGTTCACGTGTACAGGTAGGTCACGTGACTAGCTAGTCATGTGACCTACCTGTACATAGTTCACGTGTACAGGTAGGCCACGTGACTAACTAGGCTAACTCAGAGAAGACTTACTTTCTTTTGCGCTTCATTCTAGTGTCCAATTTCTCCAGGTAGCCGTCTATCACGTGGCCACACACAAGCACGAACACACGCATGCGCGCATGCACGCACACACACACATACACAGACACATGCATGCATACACACATACACACACACACACACACACACACACATACACATACATAATGCCTCCATATTCCTCGGTTCAATGTCATGCTTAGAAGAGTGCCAGCCGATTTGAAGCAAAACCAGTGAAGCCAGCAGTTTCAGCTGGGATTGTGGGGCGCTGCTCGGAAGTGCTACTCCCACAAGGTATTGCAGAAGCTCATACAGGAAGTATGTGCGTGTGTGGGGGGGGGGGGGGGAGGGGGAGGGCAATGCCACATTACTAGACCACTTGAATGTACATGCCTGCAATGGAATATATACATTGAGGAACCAGAGCAGCAAAAGCTTCATTGACTGCCCGCTGTTAGCTGAGAAATGGGTATCCAAATGGAGCATATCACACGGCCATCCGTTCATCACGGCCTATGCCCGCGCGCCACAATTAACAAGTCATAACAGCTACTGTCAATGCCCACCACACAGTGCGAAAGGTGTGCGTATGGATCAACAGCACCCAGACACAAACATGGTCACCTGCCACCAATCCAACCATATTCTCAAACGTATTGCAAAAAAGGAGCTGGGAAGCATACACCATGCCTGCCAACAATCCCGTTTTTGGCCGCGACCGTCCCAGTATCGAGGGTGGTAATAGGCACCCAAACGTGTATTTTTCACATGCCTCACAGGTACACTTGTACACATTTTCATAGCTAGGTATGTGATTGTCCCGATGTCAGGTTTGCAAAGGTTGGCAGGCCTGATACACTTCACCAGGAAAATCTGCCTAGCAGCAAGGCACAAGCCGTACACTCACCGGGAAGGCTGAATTCGACGTTCGCCAGCTGACGGAGTTTGTTTGCCTTGGACATCAAGTCCAGTTCATTTAGGGCATCCAAGAACACCGCGAAGCTTTCCTCTCCTTTGCGCTCATAGACTCTGAGCAGCGCTTTGAACCTAAGAAAGTCGGTGTGTTGAGACTCAATCTCGTTGCGTTCCTCGATGGAGATTTCAAGGTCAAAGCGCATTTTTTGCAGTAGGCGCTTCCACTGGGATGCCATTAGCTTATTGAGATCTTCTTCTTCTTTTCTGACGACCTGTTAACAGTAACAAACAGTGCAGAGTTCCTCTGATGTGATAAAGTATTACCGGGTTTTCCAGATTATTACCATGTTTTCCGTAGTATTACCATGTTTTCCAGAGTATTACCGGGTTTTCCAGAGTATTAACGGGTTTTCCAGAGTATTTCCGGGTTTTCCATAGTATTACCTGGTTTTCCAGAGTATTACCGGGTTTTCCAGAGTATTACCGGATTTTCCAGAGTATTACCGGGTTTTCCAGAGTATTACCGGGTTTTCCAGAGTATTACCGGGTTTTCCAGAGTATTACAGGGTTTTCCAGAGTATAAGTCACACTTCAAATACTCATAACTCACCCCGGAAAAGTCTTATACTACGGTGGGCAAATGAGCCATGAAATAACAAGGTAGATGGCTGTATTGCTTACACGCCAGGGTGGCCTACTCTCCGGAACATTTGGTAGCTAAAAGGTTTTCAGCTGTATAATGTAGGACAACAATGTGATATGAACCATAAACACTGAGATATCTACAGGCAGAAAGATGCAGAGAGAGTTACAGAGAGACGTTGAGAGTTCGATGCCGGATGGTTATGAACACACGCGGTTTTTCTTTTCTTTCACATGCTTCTGACTTGTCTTCTATCCTTTCGGCTAGATAGTAGCGACCAGTATCTGAGCACTGAAAACTCATTACTAGCCTCATTTGGTCAATTTATCTCAGCACTATTTGCCATGGGGCTTGCTGTGGCGTTGCAGCCATCGATTCTGGAGATGGGTGTCCATATTTTCATTATTTTTGTAAGGTTTTGTTTCTCAGGTGAGAGACAGCCAGATACAGGACAAATATATGAGGAAACGTAGAGAAGGGGAGGCAAAGAGGCACCGGGCCAGAGACACTAAGAGAAAGAGAAGTATTAGAGGTAAGGCAGGGGAGAAGACAATAATATTATGTCAATCATCCACATTCACCACCCGCATGAAAATACAAGTGATTTATCCGATGTCACGGAAGGGAACCATGGTTCCAGCCAATCAGCATCCGATTTGAGCGGGATATATACAGCGATACACCCCGCTGGGGTAAAAAAATATCCCCGCTTGGTTCACTCAGTTCAAAAATATAGCCCGCTTGGTTCACTCAGTTCAAAAATATACCCCGCTTGGTTCACTCAGTTCAAAAATATACCCCGCTTGGTTCACTCAGTTCAAAAATATAGCCCGCTTGGTTCACTCAGTTCAAAAATATACCCCGCTTGGTTCACTCAGTTCAAAAATATACCCCGCTTGGTTCACTCAGTTCAAAAATATAGCCCGCTTGGTTCACTCAGTTCAAAAATATAGCCCGCTTGGTTCACTCAGTTCAAAAATATAGCCCGCTTGGTTCACTCAGTTCAAAAATATACCCCGCTTGGTTCACTCAGTTCAAAAATATAGCCCGCTTGGTTAACTCAGTTCAAAAATATAGCCCGCTTGGTTCACTCAGTTCAAAAATATAGCCCGCTTGGTTCACTCAGTTCAAAAATATACCCCGCTCGGTTCACACGGGTCACGCCAAGAGTAAATAAGGGAGCTTTTTACAAATTCTACTGTTGGTCACGCTTTATTTGATACAGTACTATGGGCTAAATAGATTATACCATTAGTACTCTGGGTATACCGTGTCACTTATATTTTCACTTGTGCTAACACACTCGTGAAAATATCCGGCGGCATACCCCTCGTACTCATGGTATAATTCATACGTGTAATGATGTAATGTTCATGGTCACAACTGACCATACATATAATTATCATCATAATATCATCATAACTTACCTTCCACAACTCAAACGTTGATCTACAGATCGCACCAGCAGATGGATTGATGGGCAGCCAGAATGCATACAGACAGACGGAAGGACGGGTAGGCGAACGGGCAGATGGACGGACACAGAGACAGATAGACAGACGGACATACAGACAGACGGATGTACAGATGGACAAACAGACAGATAGACAGACGGCCAGACAGACGGACGGACGGATGTAAAGATGGGCGTAACAATGTACAGACAGACGGATGTATAGACGGATGGACGTACAGATGGATGGACGGACAGATGGACGGACGGATGGACGGACACACAGGCAGAAAGATGGACATCAAAGGACAGGTCAGCGGACATACAGGTATTCAACTACAGTACTGGCAACTGAAATCCGACCCCCTTGGCAGCGCACCGCGCCACCAAGGGGGTCGGATTTCAGTTGCCAGTACTGTATCTAGCCAATGAGTATACACAACAAATTTGATATTCACTCATACCGAGGTATCTGCCAGGACTGGGTGATGGCATTAAAGCTCACCAAGATCATAACAAGTCTTTGCGCTCCGCTCGTACAACACAGCAAACAACAACAGAGTTTCATAGCCAGTGGCTGGCAATGGCGAAGCTCTGATCCTATCAGGAAAGTAGGGCACTGCAAAGTGACGAACACGTTGGGCCGTGTCCGCTTTGCGCAGACTCGCACTGAACCACCATGATTGCCATGGCTACGCACAAAGACACATGCTTTCCAACTCTCCTACGGCCGTTGGAAAGTGTAACTCATGGTGAAGGAAGAACGGAAAGAAATACTCCATGGAAACTTACACGGATGTGCCCTGAGAGTCCGGTGGCTTTTTGTTGCCTGAGTTGTAATAAGCACAAGCACAAACACACACACACACACACACACACACACACACGCACACAAACTCATGTACAGATAACAAGCACACAGAAAACACACCCACACACAAACAGAATATTCAATGACCACACATATGGGAACATTAACCTTATGATTTTGCACCATTTTGGTCTCAAACGAACCAGGAAAGACCCACCATTCCTCTGCAAAAATAAACCGGAGCGCCTTTGCATGCTCGAAAGAGAAGTTATAAGTCTCCAAAGGAGGTACTGTCTGTATTTTTGGTGCAGCACTTTAATGCCCTTGTTGCCATTATAATTACATTGGGCATGTAGCGGTTAAATCACTCGTTCTCTTTGGTTGCATTCTCAGGTTTTCCTCTCGTCTGAACATTTAGGTGGATTGGGTTCAAGTACTTTTTGGATTTTGTTTGTGTGTGTGGATTTTTGTTCCTAAATTGACTTGATCCTCTTGTTTTCTGATTTTACTGTTCTTTTGTTCATTTGGCTTATGCGAAGACTAGCCAAGCTTGCTTGGTGATGTCAACGCGGACAAGCGTATAATAATACAGGTAGACTCCCTTTAATTCGAACCTCAAATTGCCAGGCCCTAACTTCGAATTATCCAGAACTTCTAATTATCCAAATGCAGCCCCATGCACTGATATGTATGTCAAAATGCTTGAAATCGCATGCTGAATATTTTTTGCACATTTTTATTTGCATCAACGAAACATAGGTGGTCATGTACAACGGATCATCAAAACACTGGATCGCCACAAAATCATTTTGACAATATCTCCATCTTCTAGTGAAGAAGTAACAGTCACTGCAGCTTCCCTGAAACAATTGTAACGGAAAAGTACTGCGCTGCCTAATCCGCGCCATGAAAGGCCGTCGGACAGCAGCACGTCGTTCTGAAGAACGGAAGTGAAGCATAGGCATCGACAATATTTACGACAATGGTGTTGTTGTGCGCCAACATCTCCGCGCACGAGCTGGCGCGGCAAGAAAGGCCATCGAAATCCGCGAAGAGAGTCAGCCACCTGGAAGAAGTCGTCTTCAATCAAACCTTTGCAATTTGCCTCGCACGGGCTTGAATCAAATTTCGAGAGAAGGTGGGATTCTTGAACGCTATAGTCGATCCTGCAGCAGACCATTGATCGATTTTTGAGCTACTCTTGGCTAGAGAAGGAGAAAAGAATGAACTTCGAATTACAAGGATAGCAACTCAATCTCACTTCGAAATAAGCGTTCAAAGGACATGGCCAATGTACTGTAAACAGCTCTTCTGTACGAAGACTGGGTTCGAATTATCCAACCGGCGCACTTTTCGTACTTCGAATTATGCATTCGAATTCGACTTGAAGTGACTTGCAGGAGATCGGTACGACGAAAAAGTTCGAATTACACGGAATGTTCGAATTATACCGTATTCGAATTAGAGGGAGTCTACAGTCAGACCTCGCTTATCCGGTCCTCGTTTATCCGGATCCCTTGCCATCCGGAAGAAAATCGCTGGTTACCGATGTGCAGCATATGTTATGCATACAACATAACCGGACCTTGCGATCCGCATGATTTTGTGTACAAACTGGTTGAAATGTGTACAAAAAGCTTCGTCGTATCCGGTTGCATGTGCCTTGCAGAAGCTAGAATCAGGGAGTTGTACAGGCAAATGAGGTCCTCGACCTGCTGGGTACATGTGGACAACACTCAGTTGCATGCACTTGTCATTCTTCTCGCTTGTTTTACATACTGGGCACGATAGTTGTACTGCATAGGACCCGTCTACATGTATGTATGATGTCACTGCTTTTGATATGCCACATGCATATACAGTATGTGTGTTCAGTTATCCGGTGACCTCGCCTATCCGGATATTTTTGTGGAAAACAGATGTGTGCGGTTAAGCGAGGTCTGACTGTACCAGTAATAATAATAATTCACTGGACAAGAAGTGTCACCATTGCTTCCTCCGCTTTCGTTAAATCTGAGTAATCTGAATTGGTATTTGCTTCACCTAGTTTGTTATCAAATAAACTTGCAAACCTCTCATTACTAGTCTAAAAGTAGTACAGCAAAGCTCCCCTAATCAAGGACGTCCTTAATCTGGGCATGTCCGTCTACCGGGCACCTTTCTGACCCATCTAAAAGAAAAGAAAGATTTACGGTTCGCGTGAGACTCGCCTGGAGACCCAATTTTCCGCATCCGCTGGGACGCCACCATCCTCATGGATCAAGGCGCAGATGCAGCTACTAAGCATTGGGAGGTGAGTAGATCAGACCCACACAAAGTGGTCAAAGACCGAAAATCTCATTCGCTGCATTCATGCTTCCCTCGTGCCAGGCCACGAGTTCCCAATTAACTGTGGGTCGCAACACGGCTGGAAAAAATCCTTCCGCTTCCAAGCAGGACTTGAACCTGGTACCCTCTGCCTCTCAATCATGGTCTTAGACTAGCCCACTATGCCTGCCTGCGACCCATCTAGAATTACAAGAAATTGGCTTCTCAACGCAAAATGCCACAAAAACTACTGATTGATATACAAAACGTTTACTTGCATCCAGTAAATGCAAGTTCATGCATGTTGTGAGCTACGGGAAATTACAAGTTACAGGCAGGGATCGGACACAAGCTACCCAGATACGGGAAGTTTTATTGTAGTTGCAGCTGCAGTAGTGTGCATGCGTGTGAGTGTTGCCAACGGGCTCGGCTGCTTGAAGGTCTAATGTTGTACCTACCACCTTTGTTGGTTTCAGGGTTCATATACTTTCTATTTGAAGTATACATACCTGTTAACCATGGACTGCTTCTGGCTAGATTAACTCTTGTGTAATCATGGTGCTAGTGAAGCTTGTATCAGATCCACTCTGATTTAGCCACCCACACTAGTAGCAAGTATTACCTTCACTGGGGGCAGGGGTAACTGCAGTTGGATCCCGGGACGGATACCCTGATGCCGTCAATCCTTTTTCTGCACCTTGTCCTCACCCACTTACTGAGGTGTGGTGAGCCCATAAGTGGGATCATTTTCAAGTCCACCCAGAGTTTTGGGGATTCCAGGGGGTGTCGGCCGTTGGGCGGTTCAATAGCCAATTGAGTCATCTTTCCAAGATTCCTTTTGAGTCTCTCTCCCCTCTCCCGGGGAGACCCACGTGACCAGTTTGGCAGTGAGCAGCAAGTACAAGTACAAGAGTGAGTGTGTATGTGTGTGTGTGTGTGTGTGTGTGTGTGTGTGTGCCAGCTAGTTCGGTTGGTGGGTACACTTACGCCTGATTGTGTTGGGTCTGTTGCCAACGGTCTCGGCTACTTGAAGGTGTAATGTTGTACCTGCCACCTTTGTTGGTTCCAGGGTTCATATACTTTCTATTTGAAGTATACATACCTGTTAACCATGGACTGCTTCTGGCTAGATTAACTCTTGTGTAATCAATGGTGCTAGTGAAGCTAATATCAGATCCACTCTGATTTAGTCACCCACACTAGTAGCACGTATTACCTTCACTGGGGGCAGGGGTAACTGCAGTTGGATCCCAGGACGGATACCCTGATGCCGTCAATCCTTTTTCTGCACCTTGTCCTCACCCACTTACTGAGGTGTGGTGAGCCCATAAGTGGGATCATTTTCAAGTCCACCCAGAGTTTTGGGGATTTCAGGGGGTGTCGGCCGTTGGGCGGTTCAATAGCCAATTGAGTCATCTTTCCAAGATTCCTTTTGAGTCTCTCTCCCCTCTCCCGGGGAGACCCACGTGACCAGTTTTGGCAGTGAGCAACAAGTACAAGTACAAGTACAAGTACAAGTACAAGTGTGTGTGTGTGTGTGTGTGTGTGTGTGTATGTGTGTGTGTGTGTGTATGTGTGTGTGTGTGTGTGTGTGTGTGTGTGTGTGTGTGTGTGTGTGTGTGTGTGTGTGTGTGTGTGTGTGTGTGTGTGTGCATGTGTGTGAGTGAGTGTGTGTGTGTGTGTGTGTGTGTGTGTGTGTGTGTGTGTGTGTGTGTGTGAGTGTGTGTGTGTGTGTGTATGTGTGTGTGTGTGTGTGTGTGTGTGTGTGTGTGTGTGTATGTATGTGTGTGTGGGGGGGGGGGGTGTACAGGTGTGTACACCCCCCCCCCCCGTGTGAGTATTCGAGTGTGTGCATGTATGCGTGCATGCGTGAGTATGTATGCATCCGTGTGTACATGTGCGTGTATGTGTGTGTGTGTGTGTGTGTGTGTGTGTGTGTGTGTGTGTGTGTGTGTGTGTGTGTGTGTGTGTGTGTGTGCGTGCGTGCGTGTGTGCGTGTGTGCGTGTGCCTGTACATGTGCCGGGATGAGAGGAAGGAAAACCAGCAATGTGAAGATAGACTATCTAAATACTCACCGGAGGTATGCAGCAAGTGCAGTATCTGCCGATGCATCCGCTGCACAACGTCAACATCCTTGCTCTCGCTCCACAGATGCTGGAAGAACGGCACGAACGTTTCATTGCCACCTTCCTGCAGCTGAAGTAGTAAGTCACGGTTTAAGTCGTCTCCCTGCTTCGTTTCCAGTTCACGTATCGTGCGCTCTTCCAAGAGATGCTGTGAGCTGACAAGGTTGAGCAAGTCGGCAGCATTGATAAACTCACGCAGCTCTCGCATGTGCTTTCTGGCAACCTGCAGCAATACACAGTGGAGTGCAAAGAGCGTAAAGTAACACGATGGTGGAGTGTAAAGTAAAACGATGGTGGAGTGTAAAGTAACACGATGGTGGAGTGTAAAGTAACACGATGGTGGAGTGTAAAGTAACACGATGGTGGAGTGTAAAGTAACACGATGGTGGAGTGTAAAGTAACACGATGGTGGAGTGTAAAGTAACACGATGGTGGAGTGTAAAGTAACACGATGGTGGAGTGTAAAGTAACACGATGGTGGAGTGTAAAGTAACACGATGGTGGAGTGTAAAGTAACACGATGGTGGAGTGTAAAGTAACACGATGGTGGAGTGTAAAGTAACACGATGGTGGAGTGTAAAGTAACACGATGGTGGAGTGTAAAGAGTGTAAAGACACAGTAAGAACATGTACAGCAACCATACCCGGTACAGCAACCATACCCGGTACAGCACTGTCGGGCGCCGAAGAACTGGGGGGGGGGGGGCAGGGTTCTAGCCTAGCCCATTCTTATTTTAAGCGATCACAGCAGTTTCGTTCTTATTCAATGGTACAGTCTAACATGTACATTCATGCAGAGTTATACACTGAGTGTGCGTTATAGTGTACATTACAGATTCCGTTCTTATCTGCAAAAATCCAGCCTAGACCGTTCTAATTGGTGAAATTCTAGCCTGGCCGTTTTTCAGCGCCCGACAGTACTGTGATCATCAACACGTACATACTATCCACGGCCGTAGCGACTAGTCTGGCAACTGCCAGACCAATGTCCGGTTAAGAGCTACAGTCCATTCATCGAAAACAGTCCTGCTGGCTTTTGAAAGTCCGATTTGGGTCGAATTGAGAATAATAAAAAAACACTTTAAATCTCAAAAATCTGGGTTTTGGATCTGCTTCTCAATACATTTTGCCATGGCATACCTGTCCCAAATTTATAAAACCTGGCTGAATTTCTATTTCCCTGTTCTTGGACTTTTCTGGCCCCAACTGTGGCAAGGAGTAATTGCACGGGTCACACAATGCAGGATGTACTCGTACTGTTGTTTTCACGATATCTACAACTATGTGAGAGAGACACCAAAAACTTAGGGTGCCAGTTTCCAATGAATGGACTGTAGAGGTGTCTAGCCTGCGCAGGATAGGACTTGATGTCTTGAAGTGGCAACTTGAGTGCATTCGATCGGTTCGAGAAAAGGGTGGTCGAAGAATAAGAGTGCTGATAGTTTTTCGATTCAGTCGAAGTTATCAGTCAGTCAGTCAGTCAGTCGAGCTCTAAAGGGTTTGATTTTCAAGTAGAACAGTCCTTTTACCTAGCGAAAAAGTAGGATCTAAAAAAAGTGGGGATGAGAAAAGATTTCAAGCGGATTTGTCAGCACTGTACGGCACAATTTGCTTCATTACAACATCAATAGGGACGCAACGTATTTTGTTTGTTTGTAAGCAATGTACTGAAATGAAAACTCTACGCACACCTTCCTCAAAGCAAGTGGTGTCTTCGCTGCAAATTCACTATTTTCTCAATTCATTTCTCGGTCAGGCCCGGAGTCGCGGAGCCTGGTGGACGACACGTCTAGGAGGGGGGGGGGGGTGTTAGACTTGAATCTGTTGTAGTCACGCCACACGAGCATGCTAGCACGGGCGGACAGCATATCATAACCATTTCCCGGACAAAACTCGGTATCCGCATTCTGCAGCATATCTCACCTCATTCCAAAGGTCATCGTAGCGTTCCAGAAAAACTGGGTCTTCCAGAACCTTGTTGACATCCTAGTAGAACCGACAAGACCAGGAAAATAGGAGGGGAGAAAGTCGGGAATGTTACAAATAATTTTGTTCCTATCGGCTTCACCCTCCATGAGTAAAGCTATTGTGCAGATGAGTACTGTTAGGTACCTCCTCCCGTACATTTTCTGGCTGGCCTGCATGAACCATATGAACCCCGTACTCACCTTTTGTTCCGTTGGCCTGGGTAGCTACTTGCGCGCCCATGTTGCCATAGCTACCCAGGGCCCTTCATAGTCTCTTGTTGTCTCAGTCTCTCTTTCTCTCTCTCTCTCTCTCTCTCTCTCTCTCTCTCTCTCTCTCTCTCTCTCTCTCTCTCTCTCTGATAATGTAGTTGTTGTAGTTTGTCTTTGTCTCCGTCTCATCGTCAATAATAAATGTTTCCCCCTACTCGTTCCCGTTGTCTGTTGTGTTGTGTCTGGGATGATGGAGTCACCAGTTGAAACTCAACAGTACCATTATTCAAACTTGGACAAAATTATTCACTGACTAAAGTTGACGCTTTGACTGCAGTTCACAGTTATCCTGGAGAGTGTCAGCACTACATGTAAGCACAGGGATTTGGCACTCGACACAAGCTACATGACCATACAACCTTAAAAAAGGCAATTTTAAAATTGCTTCCGTAGCACAACGGCAATCAATTTGCAGCTATGTGGTGTTGAGTGGCTGGTGCATGTCTTGCCAGGGTGTCACGTCTATTTTTGTAGGGGTGACAACGAGCAGTAGGGTACCCGTGCTACCCGTAATTTGATCGGGTAGTAGGGTAGTAATTTGCTTAGTTGGAGTACGGTGTTGAACCGGATCGGATAGTTGGAGTACGGTTTTTTTGCAACGGTGCATGTAACTTGAATAGCATGGCGATGTGCTGCTGACCTGCTGTACACTTTCTATATAGCGCAAGTGCACACTCCCAGTACAAGCTGTGTCAACAAATATCCGATAGGGTGCCCGAGCTACCCGGATAAAAATACCCGGACTCGTTACCCGGCCAAACCCCTACCCGTTGCAGCCTGAATGTTTGGAAACTGTCTCAGTATCTTGAGTACAGCTCGTGCTGTTTTTAGTAGGGCTGAAACAATTATATCGATAACTCGCATATCGATCGTTAAGAGTGCAATCGATAATCGTTAGTGTTCAAAACGAGTGCTATCGATTTTTTATGCATGCATATTAGTGACAGTATTCTAGCCCTTACACTCCATCCGATAGTGGATACGAGTGCAATCATGTACTTTCAAGTGCAGTAAAATTGATTTGTGGCTTTGAAAGAGTTCGGGAGAGAAGACTTTGCCTTTTCGCTTCATTTGTGGGAGAAGTCGGAAATGAGAGCAGTTGCCAGAGGGTGATGACAAGATTCTTCACTCTAGAAACAACATGAAATTTCTCTACGTGAGTAGTTCATGTTGATAAAACCAGCCAGATATCTACAGATGTCAACAGTGCGGTGTCACAAATTTCTAACGCAGCAAAGGAATCATAGTCTTTCTTCATAAACTGGTGTTCGATAGAGCCGACAAGAATCGATAAAACCAATATATCGATCGTTAATGATATTGGTTGATCGTTAGGAGTTATTGAATGATCGTTTCAGCCCTAGTTTTTAGCCACACTTCATATTTTATCCATCGCCATCATGATAATTATTAGGAATTAATGCCTGTTGTGTTTGCGATATAAATGTAATAAAACTTCACACAAATCAAACAATAAATCAAAGCAAACAACTAACTTACAATGGCAAAATAGTACCACTGCTCTCCACCATGGCTGTGCACATAAAGAAACAGCAAAACAAAACTGAAGGTTCACTGTGTAGGGGTGAAGAGTGTACCGATATTTCTTGTTCGAGCACTCCAGAAGAAACTGAGCGAGTATTCGAGCAATCTCAGTCGAGTATTCATTTTTCCCATAATATCACACATTCTTGTTGAGTTGTGTATAGCTATGGCAGTTCTGCACAATGCACACATTCTTGTTGAGTTCTGTATAGCTATGGCAGTTCTGCACGATGCACACTACACTTGTGCTTGATGTATGGTAGAGAAGACGGTTTCAAATAGGAACGGCTAGACAGCAAAATTGTGTAGACCCAAACCGATCATCAGCGTAGATTGTTCACTCGAAATATGTTTGTGGAAGGAAGCTGGCATGTTGAAGTTTGCTCTGAGGCCAGAGGCGATCGAACTGAGCCACTCCTTTGTCTTGGCACGTTGCCTCCAAGTTGCCCGATTTTTCATTTCAAATTTTGGTGTTAGAGAGGTGGCTCCAAACCGGAACAGTTTCGGAGTGCCCGTCAAGTTCACCCTGAGTTCTGAAATCAGGTAATTGCTATCGCTCCATGCGTCCAGTACAGAGAAACAATAAGCCCTGTGTGTGCTTCCATTAGTTTTCACTGGTATAGGGTTCTTTATTGGCGAGAGGCGAGCCGCTGTTTACCTGCGACAAGAATTTGATTTTTCGAAAGACGTTTAACTAAAAAAAAAACTCAAGTCGCAGTGCGAAGACACACGTCAAAAATTCACCTCCTTGGTATGGCGCTTCTGGTCATTGCCAGAGCCTTGAACTTTTGGCTCAGAGTATAACACATCGTAGCCTCACTGTGACATGTGCTTTCTATTCAAAATACCAAGAGAGAAGTCGGGGTGGAGACAAAAAACCTAATATCGATGAAAGTAAAGTGAGGGGTGCCCCCTATTCAGATCGAGTGCCCTCCTGCTCTTGCCACCAGGTAACAACTCACCTGATGGGATTCTGTTCCTCCACTGCATCCAGCAGGTAATGCACCACCGTACGTGTACATGTAGGCACATAGGCACATGCAAAAGCACGGCCACACACACACACACACACATACACATACATACACACATACACGGCCACACACACATACACACATACACGGCATGCATGTGCATGCGTGCATGTACAAACACACACACACACGGATGTACATTATGCACAAAAACACAACATAAAGTGATACACAATGATACAATAATTATTAGTCACTCCAATAGTACACTGATTTCAATCTCTTCAATTGGTACACCAAGAAAATTGTTCACTGGAAATCCCCAATTTCCTTTCAGCAAACATTCCAAGATTCCCCTGGGACCATTGCAGAATACATAAAGTATATTACCTGATTTTCTGTATTTTAAATTCCCTTGTTGAACTCTCTATGCATCTAACACAGTGATGAAGAGTTGGAAGTGACCGTGACCCAGGTACTGCCAATGGAAGGGGGTTTATGACCTGACGAACAACACAGGTACGGCCAATGGAGGGGGGGGGGGTATACCAGTCTATTCTAGAGGCATACAAACATTTGTTTGCCTTCAGATGCACTCCAAGCATTTCGGTCTCCTTGTTTCACAACTGACACAAAGCAAGCAAATCCAGGCGGAAGCAATCGCGGCTTACCACGCTTTCTGTACAACTCTATGAGCTGAGATTTGATCTCCTGCACAACTGGGAGAGTTCGCTGGTGCTCCCAGAGTTTCTCAAAGAAGGGTACAAAGGTAGCGTTGTGGCCTCTCTCCAATATCTCTATCAGCGTCTCACTCTTGCCGAAGTCTGTGCCCTCTGCAAGGCTTTGAAGATCTCTTGGAGACAGCCATTCCTGAAAATAGTTGATCATGTCTTTCACCCTTAGGTTTTCAGCAAGCTTGGGCTTGTACAGAACATCAGCCTAAAGGATGCACACAAGATATAGAACATGGAATTAGAACACAGTTTAACTGAAGTACCCCGCTAGACTCAAATTCAAAAACAAGCACGTAGGAAACACACACACCCAAGGTGATCTCAGGGTCTGTGTGTGTGTGTGGTAGTCTGCGTGCCTATAAAGAGGACGCTAAAGAGAGGGAAGTGAAGAAAATAAGGCAAAGGATGGGGCAGCAAGAGTGGATGTCTTTGCGATGGAGGGGTGCAACATCATTCCAGTAGCGTTTTGCTGTTCTAGAGAGGTAGACACAGAACATTCTTCTTTCTTTTTTTTGACAAACTTACTTCCATACTCCAAAAGACCTTGAAGAAAATGATAGGAAATGTTTGGAAGCAGTTCAAGAAAAGATGAGAGTAAGATGCTGGTGACAGGGTTGTTAGGATTTAGAGGAGATGTGACTTGAACATAACCACACACCACATGCATGCAATACCGCCGTGGATATCCGCCCACGTGGCTTTTCCAGTTAGGCCGATGTAAGCCAGTGTCACCCTCCCGCTTAATCAATTCAGCACGTACACACAGTTCGACCTGCGGTTTGGTTGAACCTGCATTGCCACTCCCCCCATAAGTACAGTAGAACTTCCCTTATCCAGGCAGGTTAGGACCGAGCACTGCCCTTATCCAGGCAGGTTGGGACCGAGAACTGCCCTTATCCAGGCAGGTTTGGACCAAACACTGCCCTTATCCAGGCAGGTTGGGACCGAGATCTGCCCTTATCCAGGCAGGTTGGGACCGAGAACTGCCCTTATCCAGGCAGGTTGGGACCGAGAACTGCCCTTATCCAGGCAGGTTTGGACCAAACACTGCCCTTATCCAGGCAGGTTGGGACCGAGATCTGCCCTTATCCAGGCAGGTTGGGACCGAGAACTGCCCTTATCCAGGCAGGTTGGGACCGAGAACTGCCCTTATCCAGGCAGGTTTGGACCAAACACTGCCCTTATCCAGGCAGGTTGGGACCGAGATCTGCCCTTATCCAGGCAGGTTGGGACCGAGAACTGCCCTTATCCAGGCAGGTTTGGACCAAACACTGCCCTTATCCAGGCAGGTTTGGACCGAGAACTGCCCTTATCCAGGCAGGTTTGGACTGAGAACTACCCTTATCCAGGCAGGTTGGGACAGAGAACTGCCCTTATCCAGGCAGGTTTGGACTGAGAACTGCCCTTATCCAGGCAGGTTTGGACCGAGAACTGCCCTTATCCAGGCAGGTTTGGACCAAACACTGCCCTTATCCAGGCAGGTTTGGACCGAGAACTGCCCTTATCCAGGCAGGTTGGGACAGAGAACTGCCCTTATCCAGGCAGGTTTGGACCGAGAACTGCCCTTATCCAGGCAGGTTTGGACCGAGAACTGCCCTTATCCAGGCAGGTTTGGACCGAGAACTGCCCTTATCCAGGCAGGTTTGGACTGAGAACTGCCCTTATCCAGGCAGGTTTGGACCGAGAACTGCCCTTATCCAGGCAGGTTTGGACTGAGAACTGCCCTTATCCAGGCAGGTTTGGACCGAGAACTGCCCTTATCCAGGCAGGTTGGGACAGAGAACTGCCCTTATCCAGGCAGGTTTGGACCGAGAACTGCCCTTATCCAGGCAGGTTTGGACCGAGAACTGCCCTTATCCAGGCAGGTTTGGACCGAGAACTGCCCTTATCCAGGCAGGTTTGGACTGAGAACTGCCCTTATCCAGGCAGGTTTGGACCGAGAACTGCCCTTATCCAGGCAGGTTTGGACCGAGAACTGCCCTTATCCAGGCAGGTTGGGACCGAGAACTGCCCTTATCCAGGCAGGTTTGGACCAAACACTGCCCTTATCCAGGCAGGTTGGGACCGAGATCTGCCCTTATCCAGGCAGGTTGGGACCGAGAACTGCCCTTATCCAGGCAGGTTTGGACCAAACACTGCCCTTATCCAGGCAGGTTTGGACCGAGAACTGCCCTTATCCAGGCAGGTTTGGACTGAGAACTACCCTTATCCAGGCAGGTTGGGACAGAGAACTGCCCTTATCCAGGCAGGTTTGGACTGAGAACTGCCCTTATCCAGGCAGGTTTGGACCGAGAACTGCCCTTATCCAGGCAGGTTTGGACTGAGAACTGCCCTTATCCAGGCAGGTTTGGACCGAGAACTGCCCTTATCCAGGCAGGTTGGGACAGAGAACTGCCCTTATCCAGGCAGGTTTGGACCGAGAACTGCCCTTATCCAGGCAGGTTTGGACCGAGAACTGCCCTTATCCAGGCAGGTTTGGACCGAGAACTGCCCTTATCCAGGCAGGTTTGGACTGAGAACTGCCCTTATCCAGGCAGGTTTGGACCGAGAACTGCCCTTATCCAGGCAGGTTTGGACTGAGAACTGCCCTTATCCAGGCAGGTTTGGACCGAGAACTGCCCTTATCCAGGCAGGTTGGGACAGAGAACTGCCCTTATCCAGGCAGGTTTGGACCGAGAACTGCCCTTATCCAGGCAGGTTTGGACCGAGAACTGCCCTTATCCAGGCAGGTTTGGACCGAGAACTGCCCTTATCCAGGCAGGTTTGGACTGAGAACTGCCCTTATCCAGGCAGGTTTGGACCGAGAACTGCCCTTATCCAGGCAGGTTTGGACTGAGAACTGCCCTTATCCAGGCAGGTTTGGACCGAGAACTGCCCTTATCCAGGCAGGTTGGGACAGAGAACTGCCCTTATCCAGGCAGGTTTGGACCGAGAACTGCCCTTATCCAGGCAGGTTTGGACCGAGAACTGCCCTTATCCAGGCAGGTTTGGACCGAGAACTGCCCTTATCCAGGCAGGTTTGGACTGAGAACTGCCCTTATCCAGGCAGGTTTGGACTGAGAACTGCCCTTATCCAGGCAGGTTTGGACCAAACACTGCCCTTATCCAGGCAGGTTGGGACCGAGATCTGCCCTTATCCAGGCAGGTTGGGACCGAGAACTGCCCTTATCCAGGCAGGTTGGGACCGAGAACTGCCCTTATCCAGGCAGGTTTGGACCAAACACTGCCCTTATCCAGGCAGGTTGGGACCGAGATCTGCCCTTATCCAGGCAGGTTGGGACCGAGAACTGCCCTTATCCAGGCAGGTTTGGACCAAACACTGCCCTTATCCAGGCAGGTTTGGACCGAGAACTGCCCTTATCCAGGCAGGTTTGGACTGAGAACTACCCTTATCCAGGCAGGTTGGGACAGAGAACTGCCCTTATCCAGGCAGGTTTGGACTGAGAACTGCCCTTATCCAGGCAGGTTTGGACCGAGAACTGCCCTTATCCAGGCAGGTTTGGACTGAGAACTGCCCTTATCCAGGCAGGTTTGGACCGAGAACTGCCCTTATCCAGGCAGGTTGGGACAGAGAACTGCCCTTATCCAGGCAGGTTTGGACCGAGAACTGCCCTTATCCAGGCAGGTTTGGACCGAGAACTGCCCTTATCCAGGCAGGTTTGGACCGAGAACTGCCCTTATCCAGGCAGGTTTGGACTGAGAACTGCCCTTATCCAGGCAGGTTTGGACCGAGAACTGCCCTTATCCAGGCAGGTTTGGACTGAGAACTGCCCTTATCCAGGCAGGTTTGGACCGAGAACTGCCCTTATCCAGGCAGGTTGGGACAGAGAACTGCCCTTATCCAGGCAGGTTTGGACCGAGAACTGCCCTTATCCAGGCAGGTTTGGACCGAGAACTGCCCTTATCCAGGCAGGTTTGGACCGAGAACTGCCCTTATCCAGGCAGGTTTGGACTGAGAACTGCCCTTATCCAGGCAGGTTTGGACCGAGAACTGCCCTTATCCAGGCAGGTTTGGACCGAGAACTGCCCTTATCCAGGCAGGTTGGGACCGAGAACTGCCCTTATCCAGGCAGGTTTGGACCAAACACTGCCCTTATCCAGGCAGGTTGGGACCGAGATCTGCCCTTATCCAGGCAGGTTGGGACCGAGAACTGCCCTTATCCAGGCAGGTTTGGACCAAACACTGCCCTTATCCAGGCAGGTTTGGACCGAGAACTGCCCTTATCCAGGCAGGTTTGGACTGAGAACTACCCTTATCCAGGCAGGTTGGGACAGAGAACTGCCCTTATCCAGGCAGGTTTGGACTGAGAACTGCCCTTATCCAGGCAGGTTTGGACCGAGAACTGCCCTTATCCAGGCAGGTTTGGACTGAGAACTGCCCTTATCCAGGCAGGTTTGGACCGAGAACTGCCCTTATCCAGGCAGGTTGGGACAGAGAACTGCCCTTATCCAGGCAGGTTTGGACCGAGAACTGCCCTTATCCAGGCAGGTTTGGACCGAGAACTGCCCTTATCCAGGCAGGTTTGGACCGAGAACTGCCCTTATCCAGGCAGGTTTGGACTGAGAACTGCCCTTATCCAGGCAGGTTTGGACCGAGAACTGCCCTTATCCAGGCAGGTTTGGACTGAGAACTGCCCTTATCCAGGCAGGTTTGGACCGAGAACTGCCCTTATCCAGGCAGGTTGGGACAGAGAACTGCCCTTATCCAGGCAGGTTTGGACCGAGAACTGCCCTTATCCAGGCAGGTTTGGACCGAGAACTGCCCTTATCCAGGCAGGTTTGGACCGAGAACTGCCCTTATCCAGGCAGGTTTGGACTGAGAACTGCCCTTATCCAGGCAGGTTTGGACCGAGAACTGCCCTTATCCAGGCAGGTTTGGACTGAGAACTGCCCTTATCCAGGCAGGTTTGGACCGAGAACTGCCCTTATCCAGGCAGGTTGGGACAGAGAACTGCCCTTATCCAGGCAGGTTTGGACCGAGAACTGCCCTTATCCAGGCAGGTTTGGACCGAGAACTGCCCTTATCCAGGCAGGTTTGGACCGAGAACTGCCCTTATCCAGGCAGGTTTGGACTGAGAACTGCCCTTATCCAGGCAGGTTTGGACCGAGAACTGCCCTTATCCAGGCAGGTTTGGACTGAGAACTGCCCTTATCCAGGCAGGTTTGGACTGAGAACTGCCCTTATCCAGGCAGGTTTGGACCGAGAACTGCCCTTATCCAGGCAGGTTTGGACTGAGAACTGCCCTTATCCAGGCAGGTTTGGACCGAGAACTGCCCTTATCCAGGCAGGTTTGGACCGAGAACTGCCCTTATCCAGGCAGGTTTGGACTGAGAACTGCCCTTATCCAGGCAGGTTTGGACCGAGAACTGCCCTTATCCAGGCAGGTTTGGACTGAGAACTGCCCTTATCCAGGCAGGTTTGGACTGAGAACTGCCCTTATCCAGGCAGGTTTGGACTGAGAACTGCCCTTATCCAGGCAGGTTTGGACTGAGAACTGCCCTTATCCAGGCAGGTTTGGACTGAGAATTGCCCTTATCCAGGCAGGTTTGGACTGAGAACTGCCCTTATCCAGGCAGGTTTGGACTGAGAACTGCCCTTATCCAGGCAGGTTTGGACCGAGAACTGCCCTTATCCAGGCAGGTTTGGACTGAGAACTGCCCTTATCCAGGCAGGTTTGGACTGAGAACTGCCCTTATCCAGGCAGGTTTGGACTGAGAACTGCCCTTATCCAGGCAGGTTTGGACTGAGAACTGCCCTTATCCAGGCAGGTTTGGACTGAGAACTGCCCTTATCCAGGCAGGTTTGGACTGAGAACTGCCCTTATCCAGGCAGGTTTGGACTGAGAACTGCCCTTATCCAGGCAGGTTTGGACCGAGAACTGCCCTTATCCAGGCAGGTTTGGACTGAGAACTGCCCTTATCCAGGCAGGTTTGGACTGAGAACTGCCCTTATCCAGGCAGGTTTGGACCGAGAACTGCCCTTATCCAGGCAGGTTTGGACCGAGAACTGCCCTTATCCAGGCAGGTTTGGACTGAGAACTGCCCTTATCCAGGCAGGTTTGGACCGAGAACTGCCCTTATCCAGGCAGGTTTGGACCGAGAACTGCCCTTATCCAGGCAGGTTTGGACTGAGAACTGCCCTTATCCAGGCAGGTTTGGACCGAGAACTGCCCTTATCCAGGCAGGTTTGGACCGAGAACTGCCCTTATCCAGGCAGGTTTGGACCGAGAACTGCCCTTATCCAGGCAGGTTTGGACTGAGAACTGCCCTTATCCAGGCAGGTTTGGACCGAGAACTGCCCTTATCCAGGCAGGTTTGGACTGAGAACTGCCCTTATCCAGGCAGGTTTGGACTGAGAACTGCCCTTATCCAGGCAGGTTTGGACCGAGAACTGCCCTTATCCAGGCAGGTTTGGACTGAGAACTGCCCTTATCCAGGCAGGTTTGGACCGAGAACTGCCCTTATCCAGGCAGGTTTGGACCGAGAACTGCCCTTATCCAGGCAGGTTTGGACTGAGAACTGCCCTTATCCAGGCAGGTTTGGACCGAGAACTGCCCTTATCCAGGCAGGTTTGGACCGAGAACTGCCCTTATCCAGGCAGGTTTGGACCGAGAACTGCCCTTATCCAGGCAGGTTTGGACTGAGAACTGCCCTTATCCAGGCAGGTTTGGACCGAGAACTGCCCTTATCCAGGCAGGTTGGGACCGAGAACTGCCCTTATCCAGGCAGGTTTGGACCGAGAACTGCCCTTATCCAGGCAGGTTTGGACTGAGAACTGCCCTTATCCAGGCAGGTTTGGACTGAGAACTGCCCTTATCCAGGCAGGTTTGGACAGAGAATTGCCCTTATCCAGGCAGGTTTGGACCGAGAACTGCCCTTATCCAGGAATTGCCCGTAACTCAGACCATACAGTACGTACTACTGTCAGACAACACCGAATTAATATTCGGCACATATTTATTTTTAAATAAACATCGAGGCGGCAATAGTTTAGAATTGCTTCGTATCCACTCGTTTTTGATATAATAAAGCCTTTGTGAAACGTCGGTTCAGCTCGTTCTGTTCATCGCAATTCTAAAACATGTTTACTTCAAAGGATTAGTCAGGGAAGTGGACTGCCTCAAAAGAGAAAAAATGCCAGACCCACTCGGACTCAAACCCGGGACCTTGCTTGTCATGAGCAATGCTCTAACCATCTGAGGTATGGGGCATCTGAGCTACGGGGCTAGGCCGGATATAGAAGGTGCTGACACGTTTTTCACTCCAAAGGCGGCTCACAACATGTGCCACACATACTAATGGCACTTGGGTCTTTTCCCCTCCCCCAGCATATTTATTTTCGGCTATTTTCGGCCTTGGCATTTTTCGCCAAAAACTTGTTGCGGCTGAAATTTTCCTTTGCAGGGTTCAGTGTGACAGTGCGTACAGGTAGCGGCAGTACAGGCCGAAATTGTAATGCGGCCGAAATGTGTTTGAGCCCTGGGCGGCAGAAATTTAAACATACCAAAAATTTGCAGACCAACGCTACATGTAAGTAGAATCGCTTTACACCAGTCAATAGTTCTTGAGGCACGTTTTCACTGGAAAACCATTTTTTGTGACTCGAGAGCGGTCAGAAAGGTGTCCGGTAGATAGATGTGCCCGGATTAGAGGGGCATCCGGATAAGAGGAGTTTTCCTGTACCTCGAGTACTTTCAGTCAGTCGGTTCAGACGTGATCTGTTTTTTTCTTTCTTTATCTTAAGTCACATGACATCATTCATGTCCGAAAACAAAATTTGTACACAGTCATCTAATGTTACTCACTTCTCTCCATAGGTTTGGGTAGCGGCGAAGAAAGCCAGTGTCTCCAAGCAGCAGCATAACGTCGAGCTCCCCCGCATCCTCTCCACTAGCGGGGCCAGTGCCATACACATTTCTGGCACTTTGCTGACGTCCGGGGCTGTAGCGCGTGGCTGCAGCTGCAGTGGCTCCATGAGTCGGCTGGACAAGAAGCGATCGAACAACAGCAGCAACAGCAGCAACAACAACAGCAGCAGTAACAGCAGTAGTAACAGCAGCAGCAATAGCAGAAACAGCAACAGCATCCGCAGCAGCATCCGCAGCAGCAGCAGTAGCAGCAGCAGGACAAGACAATTTGGTTGGTATTGAATAACATGGTTAAGACAGGTTCTTTGTATGGCCTTCGTAGCCGATTGGTCAAAATAATGGTGGTGGGGTGGGGATCCAGGGATCCTGCATTACCCTGAATGTCAACCGTGCTGCGACCCACAGTTAATTGGGAACTCGTGGCCTGGCATGAGTAATACATGGATGTGGCAAATGGGATCAAGGCCTTTGGCCTCTGGTTGGTGGATCTGATCTATCCTCCCCCACCGTTTAGGAGCCGCATCTGACGCCTGATCATGGGGTGGTGGCATCCCACGGAAGCGGAAAGGTGGTTCTTGACCAGAGAGTTGTACGACTCCTTGTTCTTGACCTGCCCGGTACGCGAATCCCGCCGAATTTATTATTTTTATTTTTATATGTTGCAATCATGCAGAGAGATTTCAATCAAAAGTTAGGGAAGTTCTTTCATTTAAATCCTGGTTTGCGAGTACACCTGAAGTCCGTACTGAGCTCTCGTGCAGCTTCCCTCTACTACATGATAGTAATCACTGGAACACGAGTACGGTAAAACCTGGTGCAAGCGACCTCTGGGTATAGCGACCACCTGCTCTTAACGACCGTTTTTCCATGCACGGACAGTTCTACGCAGACACTGTGGGAGCTGGTTCTAAAGACCACCTGGCTTTAACGACCACTTTTACTTGCACCGTGGAGTGGTCGCTTAAACCAGGTTTTACTGTACTAGTCTGCTTGCAGCAACAGAAGGTGAGGATTGTCTATCTTACCCTGTACTTGCTATGAGGATTGTCTATCTTACCCTGTACTTGCTATGAGGATTGTCTATCTTACCCTGTGATTGCTAGCCATATCTAGGCCTGAATGTGAGCAAACGGCTCAACACTCAGCCAGGAATGTGCCACTGGGAGACCATCTTGATCAGGTAGACCAGCAAGGAACTAGACGATAGCCTGAGAAAGAGAAAGAGAGAGAGAGAGAGAGAGAGAGAGAGAGAGAGAGAGAGAGAGAGAGAGAGAGAGAGAAAGAGAGAGAGATAGATAGATAGATAGATAGATAGATAGATAGATAGATAGATAGATAGATAGATAGATAGATAGATAGATAGAGATAGATAGATAGAGAGAGAGAGAGAGAGAGAGAGAGAGAGAGAGAGAGAGAGAGAGAGAGAGAGAGAGAGAGAAAGAGAGAGAGAGAGAGAGAGAGAGAGAGAGAGAGAGAGAGAGAGAGAGAGAGAGAGAGAGAAAGAGAAAGAGAGAGAGATAGATAGATAGATAGATAGATAGATAGATAGATAGATAGATAGATAGATAGATAGATAGATAGATAGATAGATAGATAGATAGATAGATAGATAGATAGATACACATAAGTGGGTATACCCAGGTTTCAACAGTGCTCAACACCACAGGGGCGGAGCGTAACCACAAAGGTCAAAAAGAATGGTTTCACCAATTATAGAAACATACGTTGTAACGCTGCGTTTCATGCACGTAGCTAAATGCTAAGGCAATCATCAGACAACGTTGTCTGATGATTGCCTTAGCATTTAGCTACGTGCATGAAACGCAGCGTTACAACGTATGTTTCTATAATTGGTGAAACCATTCTTTTTGACCTTTGTAGATAGATAGATAGATAGATATAGATAGATAGATAGATAGAGAGAGAGAGAGAGAGAGAGAGAGAGAGAGAGAGAGAGAGAGAGAGAAAGAGAGAGAGAGAGAGAGAGAAAGAGGGGGACAGCAAGGTGACTGCAGAGATTCCTTCGCCAGTGAAGGCCGGGGACAGGCCTGGTCAATACATGGGCATACAAAGGCGCACATCAGCACAAATACCGTAAAGTCGTGGATAAAAGCCGGGTTTGCATACAAGCATATCGCGGATAGAAGCCTGAAAATCAAACGGGTCAAATGCATAATTATAAGCCTGTCGCGCGTAGAAGCCTGGCTTCTATGCAAGCACGGATCGGGTAGGTCAAGAGTGCATGCGCTATGTACGGTGCAAAGTAAAACTGCCGCCATACCGGTAGTCAGTGGTAGATCTACGCGTGTCGCGCGTAGAAGCCTGGCTTCTATGTGCATACTAGCCTGGCAAAAATATCAGTGGTGCATATAAGCATGGTTTGCATACAAGCCTGGTTTGCATTAAAGGGGAAGTGCATCGATTTTTCGAGTAGGGTCCAGAAGAAAGACAATTTGATATCGGTTCGAATGGCATATCTCTCGCTTCCATACGATAAGCCAAACTTGCCAAATCGCCAATTGTATGCTCACGTTGCCATAGCGACCAGAGCAGTGATGACGTATGAAAGGCTTAGCTCCTCCACAGAGAAGGCCGATCACTGCAGAAATTGGTCATTTTTCAATTGTCTTATTGTATTCACGATGTGAAAGAAGTGCTGTGTTCAATGCTGTTAGTGTCGTGAACTATTTATCGCCCTTCTCATGCATTTCCCTAGGCTGACTGCGCCTAGGAAATGGTTTCCTCCAGGACAAGATGCTTAGAATTCGCCATCTCTCCCATCTCTCCTGAGACATTTTCAGCAAACTTTCAAACCTACGACATTATTTCATTCGTCAATCTCCACCACCCGTCGTCTCACCTGGCTTCAGAAGATGTTACGAGAGATAGCAGAGTCGCCAGGAAGCATCACATTCATCTTCAGGAAGTGGAAAGAGCAAACGGCATGGTCCTTGGTTGGGGGAAATGCTGAACGTCTGATTTGTCCCAACCAAGATTTCAGCATTTTGTTCGTCACTATTTTCGCTTATCTGCTGGTGTCTCCGCACTCCAGCTTTCTCCTGTCGGTGTCACGTCCCAGTACACAACCGAGAGGACTACTAACAAACAGTTCACTGCACTAACAGCATTGAACACAGCCCTTCTTTCACTTCGTGAATACAATAAACCAATTGAAAATGACCAAATTCTGCAGTGATCGACCTTCTCTGTGGTGGAGCTAAGCCTTTCGTACGTCATCACTGCGCTGGTCGCTATGGCAACGTGAGTATACAATTGGCGATTTGGCAAGTTTGGCTTATCGTATGGAAGCGAGAGATATGCCATTCGAACCGACATCAAATTGTCTTTCTTCTGGACCATACTCGAAAAATCGATGCACTTCCCCTTTAAAGGGGAAGTTAAGGCAAAAATTAAAATTTCACCAGTTGTAGTCTTCGGGGTGCTGAGTCGAATGGCCTTGGTCCGAGAAAGCTGAGACGCTCCCTTCCTACTTGAATCCCAATCGAACTCGCGCACTTCCACCGAAACTGGGTGACTGCGCCCTACTAGATGGGGATTTGTATGCAAAATGTCACTAAAAGCGCCATTTCGTTCTTATAAAAGCACGTATGACCGCGATTGGTCCATATGTTGTAGTCTTTTGGACGCTGAGTCGACTGGTTTTGGTCCGAAAAGGCTGCGATGCAGCGTTCCTCCTTTATTCCCAATCGAAGAACAAGCGGTCACGTGCTCCTGGGTGCCCAGATCACCTGGTCACCACACCAGCAGGCGACAACTTTCACACCAAGGTTCAACTCGAGTGATAGGACTGCACCCAAAAAAGGTCAAACAGGCTACAGTAAGATCGGGCGCCGAAGAACGCAGGGGCTCGAGCGCAGCCTAGGAAAGTTCTTAAATTTTTGATTCTAGCCAGACCGTTCTTATTCACACGCGCGTGGCGAGTCGAGTGACGCCATGACGTTTGTCATGTACATGTACATGTACATGTACATGTACATGTACATGTAGTGCAATGTAGTACTTCTAAACTAGTGGGTGTCGTAAATGGGAATGACTGTACATGTAGCAGTAACTGTTTACACGTGTACATAACATGTACTCACCTCCCATACATGTACAATGTATGATCAGTTCTGCACTCATGTGGAAATTCCAAATTTTAAAAGTGTTCTTAAATCTGATAATTCTAGCCTGGACTGTTCTTAAATTTTGCCGGTTTTCCAGCCTGGGTGTTCTTCGGCGAGGTGTTCTTCGGCGCCCGATCTTACTGTAGTAAGTTGTACCATGCAAGCACGGTGACCAGGTGACTGGCGTACGCAGGAGCACGTGACCGCTTGTTCAACCATGTTCGATTGGGAATAAAGGAGGAACGCTGCATCGCAGCCTTTTCGGACCAAAACCAGTCGACTCAGCGTCCAAAAGACTATAACATATGGGCCAGTCGCGGTCATCCGTGCTTTTATAAGAACGAAATGGCGCTTTTAGTGACATTTTGCATACAAATCCCCATCTAGTAGGGCGCAGTCACCCAGTTTCGGTGGAAGTGCGCGAGTTCGATTGGGATTCAAGTAGGAAGGGAGCGTCTCAGCTTCCTCGGACCACGACCATTCGACTCAGCACCCCGAAGACTACAACTGGTGAAATTTTAATTTTTGCCTTAACTTCCCCTTTAAAGTAGAGATGCAGAAAGCGGCTTATATGCTTATAGCCCGGCTTTTATCCGCGACTTTATGGTATACAAATACACAGAGCATGCACGAGCATAATCGCCGTCGACACCTTCTATGTTGTTTTTCTTACGTACACGTACTTCGAAGTAAGTGTGATCTACTTCATTCTCTTCTGCTTCCCTCACCAGCAGTAGTCACTAATGAGTTCTGCGGAATTCTGTACTTCAAACACTACTAAACAGAGGAGCGATGGCGCTACTTTTAGTTCCTGATCTGCGAGCAAAACTGATTAATTAGTTGCGCCTGAAAAGGTGTGCGATTGAAGTCAATTTCAATTTCATACTTGCGTAAGTAGTAAGTACAAGTATGCTTATCCACTACAGCTCTACCCTTCACGCCGACTTGCTTTAGTGATCCGCCAACCAACATTGCCTGATCACAACATTTGTGAGTGAATGATGCCGGGTGGTTTGCGGTATCTGTCATAACACATCGACTAGGGTGTTGGCTATGCCTACGCCTATGGTCTTTTTCAATCGGCTCAAATCCAGCACGTTTCGTTCTTGGTTTGTGCTGCGGGGCAGACGCATGCTAGTCGTATGACCTCTTCATTGATCCGAACACAATCTATGTGCAGATGTTATCGCACTCTCTGCTTAGCACATCTTGATACTCAACAGTTACATTGTGGTATCCCGTTCAGCCATAGTGAATTAATTCTGATGGAAGATGTGTTTGGCACACAGGCGGAGACCGCGTGTAGCAGCAGCAGAGCTATCACTTTGGGGTTTTCTTCATCTGCAGCGCTTAGTAACTCTTGCCACGGACTGTGCGGGACGGCGCTTTGCCAATATGTAATTGACGTGTAATAGTAATACCAATAGACCAATCCCGAAAAGATTGTTTGGGTTCGAAAGGGGGCATGTCAACTGAGAGTACGCTGTGCTACATAATAGTCGTGAACATGGACATCCAGTCGAATGACCGGGCCGGCGCCCTCAGCGCGTACAGAACGCTGTTACTTGCATGCTGTGCACAGTCATGTTGATCCAATGCGATCAGCGCAGCGCGCTGCAGCGCACAAATGCATGTGCGTACCGCTTACCCAACGGCTGCATGGCCAGCGCCCTGGCCTGGGGCCGCTAGACGTGCGACCGGATTTCCATGTTCACGATCATGATCAGTACATGAACATGTACATAGCACTACCTGATCAGCATGCGGCAGAGGACGTGTTTGACAATGATAGTTTACGTATCAATGCGCATGCGGGAGTAAGTACACGGTTTTCTCGTTAGTTGCGTGCAACTGCAAGAGAGACGATGCGACAGAAAGCAAAGCCCTTTGTAGTTTTCTCTCTCCCACTGGTAATAGTCTGCTGTTGGAGTTGAAATGCTAAAACATAATCCTTGTTTCGCTCTTCTATGTAGTTCGAAGAGGTCAACAAACATGTAGAGCTCACTTTGATGAAGTAAGCAAGGCTGCGAGCGCTGTGGCTCAAAGCGATATGCCCTGTCTTACGAGATATTTCGAGTGCTATTGCTTGTTGCGAGTGCTTCGTCTTCGATAAGTCATGCCTCTATCCTGCCAGGTTTCCTCTTATAGGACCAGTCACGAAGTGACTGTACTCATCTGCAGCCGATCAATGTTCTACTGCACAAGAAGATCGCGTTTTCGCCAAGCCAGTGCCCAGCCAAAGACCATCGCCATGTCACACCGTCGGGACGTGTTCATGATGAGAATCATCATTCGTGGGAGCGTGATGAAGAACTATTTCGAAAGACGACACAGTCTCTACCCCCGGGACGACAACTATGCGCGGGTCCTGGAAGGGGAGAATGTCTCCCGCGATAAGAATGGAGACGACGGCGGGTTTTCGGCAACCTGGAGTCAGCGGAGGTCGTCAAGCTCCTCCGCCTGCTCCGGTACATGAAGGTGACATGTCGACACGAGCGAGCGGAAACACAGCATACTCGTAGATCTACATGGTAGTGTAGTAACGTTGCGAGAGTTTGCGGAAGAAGTCCAAGTTGGAAAATCCATCAGCTCCAAAAGCTACCTGCAGGTGGGCGATGCGACTCCAGCGTCAGACTACAACAGTCAGGACTACTTGTAAATAGTTGAACGTTGTTTTAAAGCAGCAGATCGATAAGTAAGTTGAAATCGTAGCTGTTTCGGTAAGTCGGCGCTATAATGTAGCTTGTATTTTTTACGGAGAGTCGATCCCCACAACGAATGTTCCTCTCCTCACCGAGAGCTAGCTGGCCTCCTAACTCCGTCAGGGTCTGCCTAAGGTACCAACGGTCCTTTGACTAGCTCAACCTGAAAATGTTGATAGATCGAATGAAGTCAGTACGCACCCGCATGGATTTTACATTCAAGCTGCTGGCAGGATTCCATCAAATCCTTTTTGGCTTTAGCTTCAGCTCGGCGAGCAAACGTCTAGTCTCTCTCTCTCGTCCGCCATGAGATGTCACATACACACTAGATACAAACGATGCACTTCACACGAGCTGGCCTGCACGCTTGCCCCTTTTCACGAACCCAGACAATCTTTTCGGGATTGGTCTATTTAAAATAAACACACTCACCGGAATGAAACAAGAGACGCCGCAAAGCTTTGCACACTGTTCACCAAGGTTCACTGCGGCGGAACGCGGCTGCCCGGATTCGTAGCTGTTGGTGTTCCCTCTGTCGTCTCGACGCCGGTCGATACGATCCACCCTAACGACGCGGTAGAATTCCGGCCAGCAGCCGACGTCAGCTCTTGTTCGTCTCCACGATACACACGGATTCAGTGGGGCGACGAAATCATTCATTCAAATGTTTTTATCCCCGAACGCCGGAACCCTCATCTCCTCACGTGCAACCCTTGGCAGTTCTGTACAAAGATCCGTACTGTAGTCTAGATGATCTACTGGCACTGGAACCTATCGTCCTGTGGAAATCTACTCGTGGGCCAAGTCTGCTACCTAGCTACGGAGACTTGATTCTTGTGGCCTCGTGTGTTGAATCGTCCTGTCCAGTTCTGCATGCAGCACACAAGGACAGCCAAACTTGAGTTAGAGAGCCTGAAGAACAAGGTCAGAAGATAAGATCAATTCTGTTGCTGTGACGAGCGATGGCACTTGTGCACCAATACAGTCCATACATCTTTGCAGATGACAGTAAGGCTAAGAGTCGGAGGAGGGGCGAACAGAAACTCACCTCGTGAAAGACAAAGACGAAAGTGGCGAGAAAGAACACTGCGTGCTAACAAAATAGGAAGCTAGTGCCTAGTAGTGGACGGCTCGCGCAAGATCACGACGCGTCGAAGGCCGGCCGTGATCGCGCACATCAAACTGAGCTCAGGTACTTTGGCAGAAACAGCGCTGTGCGCCAGTCGATCACCATGTACGGACAAGATCTTACCGCAAAGAATGTGTTTACGAAAGAAGTCCGACTGTTATGGGAGGGACGGTAAACCTGTCCCCCGTCATTCACGAATCATGTAATCGGTTCGTAGTTTCTACGAAGAGTCAAGTACAATGATTATGATTGTAGATCGACTACATGACTGTACATGACCTGATGACAGGTGGATCTACTCCCTGCTTATGCTGCATGCTGTACAGTCCCGCGGGAGAGGCTCGCTGTCTCTCTCAGTGTTTTCATTGCACGTGATGCTGATATTCCCCAGGCTATGGACAGGTTCTAGGTCACAAACTGACAAAGACGAAGAAGTCAGTGACACATAGTAGATCTACGTAGGCACGTCAGTATTGACATGCTGTAGGTTCGGAGATATCAGTAGATTTCTGCATGATCTGCTACTGCGCTAGTGTATCGTCGGTCGTGTTAGCATAAGCCATAAGGCATACCGGTATGGAATAACCATGATAACTAAACAGCTAGCCACTTCGATTCTGGCACGCCGACTATGTACTTCCAAGTCTGCCAAGACTGGCAGAATCGGCGAGCACATCTCTTGCAAAGACAGTAAAAATACCGTAGTCGCGCGATTAGTGACCCTGGGGCACAATTAGTATTACTTTTTTTCAATGTCCATCACAGCTACAGATGGGGCATTGTTCAAGAGAGGGCACTATTTTCTCTGGTACACCGGAGGATGTACCCAGTGTGCTGACAGTGCTCAACACCGCGGAGGCAGAGCGTAATACAGAACAGAACAACGAGGACAATCAAGGCTTGTTTGCTGCTACTTCAAGTTTCATGCTCTCGCAATCATCAGGCAACTGTTGCCTGGTGGTTGCGAGAGCATGAAACTTGAAGTAGCAGCAAACAAGCCTTGATTGTCCTCGTTGTTCTGTTCTCAATTCTGGTACATGTGCATTCACGTCATCCGGCATAAAACAAAGAAGCCAAACGGACAAACAGAGCCTAAAATGTACGGTACTTGTACACTGTCACCACTCAACAGAACGGGCAACAGGAACTGCGATTTTGACCGTGATACCACCAGTTCCATGACATCGACAAGAACAGAAAGAACACCAAACTATTACCATGATTACTGACTTGCATAGCCATGCACTTGGTTAGAAATAGAAGCGGGGGGGGGGGGCACTATTCAAGATAATACAATGACTATGTAGGTGTTCATTTTTCACTGGCTCTTACCTGCTTACCGTTATGGGCATTACTGCCAATATTGGAGATAGGGCACTATTCAAGGAAGAGATGTAGCCTCTAACTATTACTTTTACTTTTACTAGTTTTAGTCTAGCGTGCGAGGACGATGTTACCTGACATGTACATGTATGTCGGCGCGGTATGTAGTTGCTAATGCATACGGTCAGGTAGCAAAAAAATGGACAAGGGGATTTTCCCTGTCCATTTCCCTGCTCCCGTAGTTCAGCCCTTAGTTTAGTACTATACTGCAGTAGGTGCTTGCCTTTTGAGTTTTGTCAAAAGTCCCCTCGCCTAGCCATGAAAACACAATCATGTACAGAGAAAGAGCTGTTTCATTTGTTCAGTTTTCTTCGCTGGCCTCGGTAACTGTTACTTGTACAGGTAGTTGGAACGCCACTGCAGCGTCTCCAGCTTGCAGTCATGGCAGGCAAAGAGAACGCAGCTGCTGTTCGCGGAGCACTATCAGGTCTTTGCCAGGCTGGATGCGATGAGAGAAGTGCTAGCGAGTCCGGCAACAGAGAGGCGACTTGCTCCGAAACCACCGCATGCATCGCCGGAGCAAGCAACACGGTTCCCGAGGCAGTGCGCAGACTGAAAGGTTTGTTAGTTGAGGAGTATGTCGGCGCAACCGTGGACATGGGAGAAGGTATGGTGGAGGAAGGGATCAAAGAACCAAGCGTTTCAGATGTGCAGGTACAGCTGATCATTTTGTCTAGGCCAGAGCTTCGGCAGGAGTTCGCCAATGCGAGTTTCGATTCAACAGGGGACATGTGGCGTGTGGAACACGTTTTCACAAAGGCAGCCGATGGTTTGGAGAACATCTCCATTGAAAGTCTCTTCGATCTGGACAATGAGCAGATCATGCTGGAGTTCTCCAGCGGTGGTCGAACGTATCGCATATTGGCTGTTGCCAGCGCGGGCTGTGGCAAGACGTTCGTCTTTACAAGAGTGGCGCCATTGAAATGGGCCCGGAATGAAATCTGGACATCGTTTGACCTGGTGATAGCGCGGAAACTACGGAACGAGGAGGTGAGAAAGGCAAAGAACATATGCGGTCTGCTTGGCATAAATGAGAAGGGAGAGTTTACAAGAGAGGAGCGCAAAAGCATCGATGATTTTGTACGCTGGCAAGCTCATCGAGTATGTATTGTGCTCGATGGGCTTGATGAGATCCGCCTTGGTGACTGCAGTGGCTTTGTTCAGGACATCATTAACGGGTCCAGTGTGAAGGGACTGCGTCTGGTGGTGACGTCGCGGCCGTGTGTTGAACTGCTAAGCCTGAGTGACAAAAAGCAGTTTGATCGCCGAGTGGAACTTGTCGGTTTTCGGGAAGAAGATGTTGAGGAGTACATTGGCAAGGTGCTGGGGTCAGTAGACGAAATATCCGTGCTGGTGAAGGCAGTACGGCAGGATCAACACCTTGCTAGCATGATGGCCACACCATTCCTAGCCATGCAGACGTGCAAGATGTTCCACTGCCGCAATGGCATGCTGCCAAAATGCCTGTCGGATATCTTTGATATGATGGTCATCCAAGTTGCCGAGCGTAATGCTGGTGAGTCGTACAAGAGTTGGAATGAGATTTCTCCAGCTGTCCAAGCCCTCATTCTAGATCTTGGGAAATTCGCTTTCAGCATGCTTGTGGTACAGCGACTCATTTTCACCGATGCTGATTTGCAGATGGGAGCGATCACCAGAGAAGCTAAAGCTCTCGGCCTTCTCGTGCTAGCCGACAGTAGCAGTCGCAACGACGGCAGACTGTGGATGTTCAGCCATTTGACGTTACAAGAATCGCTGGCGGCTCGCTACGTGGCTGTGAAGAAGGCAACAACACTGGCACGTGTTGTCCGTGTGGTGGAGTTGCTGGGCCCCGAAAGCGACCACTTGCGGACATTCTGGATGCTGTTGGCAGCCCAGTTGAACAAGGAGAATGCTGACTGTTTGATCAACGGTCTTCTAACGCGAGGAAAGTCTTCTGACGGACAAGCTGCGAATGACGAGGACGAGAAATGGGACAACCCACATGATGCAACAGCGGCATTAGATGTCTTCCCACTGGATATGCTCGAGTCGTTGAGTGCCGGTTTGGACGACTTTGAAGGCTGCCGTCTTGCAGAAGAGCTTCTATCCGACAGCCTGAACGGAAGAAGCAGTGTGCGTTACGTGGAGAACCGTAGCAAGTACGGCCGGCCCGATAGCGGTGAACAGTTCTTGAGAGCGACGTTGCTGACGTGGGTGGAACGCTGCCCTGATGCAACGTACGATACACTGGCTGATGCTCTGCGATGCATGGGCAAACACGTCCTTGCACAGTCTCTACATACTCCTATGCGCGGTGGTAATCCAACACCAGTGAAGAGTCCATTCCACAAGGAAATCACTCCTCACTCCAGGCGTAACTTAGATCTAGCAGTACTCAGCTATGCCGAGCGATGTCGTCACCATGACGATGACCGTCAACCCATGCCCACCCTAGCCGCCGCATTTCAGTGCTTGAAGATGTCAATCCTGGGTCCTGACCATCCGGCCATCATCCGTGCCTATGATGTCGCCGTCGATGTGCACTGCGCCAGCGTGGAGAGTGTGTACTTTTGTGAATGGCAACGTTCCGTTACTCCCATGCCGTGTCTACTATCAATGCTGAAGTGTGAGAACATCACAGTGCTGCACATCGCTGAATGTAACTGTCAGTGGCAGCAATTCATGGCAGTTGTGAAGTCATCGCGCATGCATCTGGAGGCCATCCGTCTGACTAATTGTGATCTCACCGATGCCAGTATGCCCTCACATCCAGTCAGCACACAACGGTCACATGCTGAACACAGTGGAACAGCGACAACCACCGACCATGGCGACCGCAACCCTGCAGTGCTCCTGGCCGAGGCACTTGCCGATGTTCGCTGCCTCCAAGTGCTTTGTCTTCAGCACTGCAAGGGCATTGGTGGGCATGATCTGCGTGCAATCTGCAAGGCCTTGCGTCACTCAACACACTTATCAACCTTAAGTGTCCAGCAGGAAGGGCTGCTTCGTTGCATCGATGTCTTGGCCGATAATCTTTGTAGCGCATGGTCTGAAATAGCGGTGCTTTTGCTCAATGATCGTGGAGACTTGGAGGTGCAGGCGACGAAATCCGACGACGACGTCGACCGCGACATCTCTGCATTCGTGCATGCCATCAACGCGTGCACATCACTCCGGCAACTTGTGATGATTCACAGCTGTCCACGACAATACCGCCGTCGGGATGCCTATGGGCGTCTCATGAGCCGAGAATCCTACCGATCTTCCTTAGATCTTCGACTGAACCGTCGGTAGCAATTTAGCTTCCCCTCCATGATGTTCAACTGCTTTTCAGTTCAACATTCTCCCAATATTGCATAGCGCAATTACTAGCAATAGCAACCAGCACATTGAGAACATTGATATCGAAAATTTGGTACTATTTACGTTAACTTGAGCCTCATTCTTAAACACTTTTAAACATTCAAACAGAGTTGCGAAATTTACAATATCCCACTCCCTTAGCCTCGTCGCGTAGGCTGGTCTTATTTCCATGTCTATGTATTACATACAGTAGATGCACAGTTGAGGCACAATCTGCTGGTACTTTTTCTCACCTCACAAAGATTCACCTAGGGTTCCCTGTAACAAGGCCATGCCTGTTGGGACTTCCCTAGTCAAATAATATACTACTACTATTACTACTAGTCATTGTGTGTATGTATCGGGCATGATGCTGTGCTGAGTCAAATCTAGGGGTGCAACGATTATACCGCGCATACCGAATACTCTAAATAGAAACCGTTACAAGCAGACGAATCGATTATTCGAAAAGTTCCCATTACTTGATTATGCATACAGTATACGTATGACCGTAGATCGACCGGCGATGTGCGAGAAGAAAATTCTTCTCCACAGGATCAATTTTCAAATTCTAAATTTTCGCATTTTTTCAGCTTCCAATAGTCGTTACTTGACGACGGGCAGTGGATCGCGCTTTCCAGCCCGCACGGTTTGATGTGTCATTGGTCGGCTCCAAGGTGACAATCACGTGACATACAGGAAACGCGCGTTGGTGGCCACCAATTTGGTCCGGTAATAACCAGACCAACCGGACCGGTTCCGGCGGGACAGATTATGTGCATGCATCTGTGTATACACACGTCATCACTGGACCGATTTGTTTTCTCTAAGAACGTTTTCTCGTGGTGGTCTCCTGTTAGAGTCTGTACACAGAGTGTGACAGGCGTACTGAAGACAGTGCGCCAAACAGTGACTGGCTCACGCTCTTTGTGAACCACTCATCTTACTTGCGCACTCGTGCCGCAGTGCAGTGCAGTGCACTGCACGACGCTGCATTGTACTGAGCTGCACTGTACCAAGCTGCACACAACAAAGCAAGATCTGGCAATAGCTGAAAATCATGCAGTCATAGTTTCTTTTCGGATCAAGTATTAACTATTTTTCATGTTGAGAAATGGACCCGGGATGTCTCGAATTTTAAAGACAAGGGAAGGAATTAAACATCCTGGACAAATATTTAAAAGTTGGGCATGTGAGCAACGAAATCAATACTTTTTTGTCTGCGTGTGTGTGTGTGTGTGTGTGTGTGTGTGTGTGTGTGTGCGTGCGTGCGTGCGTGTGTACATGTGTGTGTGCATGCGTGTGTTTGTGTGTGAAAGTAAAAACAATAATCCTATAAAAGCAACGCATACCGGTACATGGAATGCTCACTGGAGCAGCGGCTGGACCGTGTCAGTGAGACAAGCACCACCTGCACCTACACCAGCAATAGCACCTACACCAGCACCAGCACCAGCACCTACACCAGCACCTACACCAGCACCAGCACCAGCACCAGCACCTACACCAGCACCAGCAGTCCAGGGAGGAGCAGTTAAAAATACCTTGAAAGAGATAATATGGCTATTTCATTCTAAGACTAATATTAGCACTAGTAGCAACGGGGCTGATTGAAACGGCAGCTTCTAGAACTGTCTTGGAGAGCTGCGCTGAACAAACACCTGCTGCTTGTGCAAGTGAGCTAATACAAATCTGTCGCATCTTTCACATCTACTCTGCAAGTCTACAGCTCGGCAGCTCGTGTCTTCTTCCACAGCATGTCGACAATTTCAATCGCCGCCGTGGGAATACGTGTTCCTATGCAGAAACACACCCACGGTCAGAAAACGCAGAGAAGACAGAGAGTGAGTGAGTTTGCATACAACCCTACAACCTGCAATGCACCCTACTTGTATACATTCAAATACTGTAAAACAGCCGAATCTGGCACTTGAAAGCTTTAGCGTAGCCCCCCCCCGGCATGTTCTTGAGGTTGCATTTCTCTGGCCAGTACTGTGCTACCACCGCCATCATGGCTCTACTGTCTGAAACACGTACCTGGTCCAAAGATTAGTGCCACACCAGCCTCATACAAGAAATCATGGTCCTGTGGAGGGATCACGCCGCCTGCTACCACCAATATGTCACTGTGCGAAAGGAAGAACAAAGATACATAGGACAAAACAACCAAGGTCAACGATGTGCAGTGCTGGTCAAAGGAAATACGATCGCGTGAATGGATTACGCGCCCGCCACGCACCACTGCATAGTCCAGTATCCATACGTCTGGGGCTGCGTGCAAAGTCCAGTTTTCACAGGGCTGGGGCCGTGCGGTGTCCCGTACTTTGCAGGCAGGTCCGAGCAGTGAATAGACTTCATTGGGCAACACTATCCCAACTGGTACAGATAAAATAAAATAAAAAGCAGCTCCGACATGCACCCTGCACGCTCCGCAACAATGCTTGACTCGGATAAGATCAGGCGAAACATCACAGCTTATCTTGAAACCAGAACATTTTCGATGAGCAGAAAAAGCAGATTGCTCTTGCTCGATACAGCACTGCAGGGCTTTCAGGCCCAAGATGACTGGGAGCAACGCAGCAAGATGGGATCTACCGTATTTTCCGGAGTATACGCCGCACTTAAAACAATCGTAATTTACCCCCAAAAGTGGCTGCAAGTAACAGTTATATGGTCAAAGGAACCGTGAAATACAGGGTAGAGGGCTGTATTTCGTAACCAAACATCTTAATGCGGGTTATACTCCAGTGAGGCTTGTACTCTGGAAAGTACCGTACAAGAGCACACACCGAAGGCATGCGGTGTTTGTGAAGGCTCTGGCGCTTGTTTCTCACCTTCTTCCCAGCCTCTTGAGCTCTTCAATCAGGCCGGGTACCAGTGTCTTGTGTCCAGCAGCCAGACTGCTAGCACCGATAACGTGTACGTCGGAGTCGATGGCCAGCTGGGCCGCTTCCTCCGGTGTCTGTAGTCGGGGGGAAAGTTGGACAAAGGAGAAAGACAAGGACAGGCTGATAACAGCAATGTAGTACTGTAGTGTGCAATGGAGAAAGCCTACACCACTAATACAGTGCTGGCACCTGAAATCCAACCCCCTGAGCGGTGCGCTCACATCGCAAAGACCCAACACGGGATGGTAAAACTACGAGACAGAGACCGCTAGAAGAATGTGAACCCACCGCTCAGGGGTCGGATTTCAGTTGCCAGCACTGTAACTAGTGTGGTGATGACGTCACTGAAGAATTCATACCAATTAAAATGCCCCCCCCCCCCTCCCAACCCAACCCAGCAAATACATAGATGCACGCACACACTGCAAACATCTGTTGCAGACAACGGTGCATGTCGAACAACACCTATTGCCTCATACCTACCCACCCTCGTGTATTTTCAAAACACAAATTCTCAAATGGTTGCGATGGCACATCCAAACTCTAAACCCAGTGTCGTCTTTGGGGTAAATTTGTTCAGATTTCACTGGCCACTGTACAGCTATGAGCAATCCATCACCTATGGCTTTGTGTGAAGAGAGCGTATGCCAGATAGTGTAGAAACAAATGAGAGAACTAAGGCTCCTTTTTGCCTCGCCGCGGGTACAGTATGCCTGGCGACCAGGTGCGTGTGTAGTACCTGGAACAGAGGTCCAACATCCACGTCAAAACCGACATCAGCGAACGAGGACGCGATGACCTTAGCACCTCGGTCGTGCCCATCCTGTCCCATCTTGGCCACGAGGATACGCGGTCGACGGCCTTCCTCCTCACTGAATTTCTGCAGAGTATGCGGGCAGAGGCAGACGCAAACAAAGTGAGTGAAAAGACAACTGAGTTGACAGAGTATGCGGGCAGAGGCAGACACAAACAACATGAGGAAGAGCCAACTAAATAGCGCAAAGTAAGGAAGTCCACAGTTTTGCACACCAGGTAAGTTCAGGGCTACACATAGATATGCATTGCATACTATGATCGCGCTGGCGCCATCCCTTATCTCCTAAGCTACCACCCCTCCCGGTGCATCTGCCCAGCGTTGACTCTGAGACCCACGGTCGGACGAGCTGCCCAGGCCCCACCACCACTGCCGTTTCTGTGCTGCCTTCTCTATACATACGCATGTAGACTGTATATGTGCAAATTCATATGTCTAAAGGTTTGTGGTGTACCTTCTCTCTCTCTCTCTCTCTCTCTCTCTCTCTCTCTCTCTCTCTCTCTCTCTCTCTCTCTCTCTCTCTCTCTCTCTCTCTCTCTCTCTCTCTCTCTCTCTCTCTCTCTCTCTCTCTCTCTCTCTCTCTCTCTCTCTCTCGATCGAGCACTGTAAAGACTCTGTGCGTGTCCGCGTGTGTGTGCGTGCGCGCGCGTGTGTATGAATGTATATGCGTGTAACTAATGCAATGTATGTATCCTCCGGAAAATACCGTATCTCACCTTGATGTGTTCAATAACCTTCTGTAGTTCACCGGTCTCAGCAAATTCCCGAGGATACGGGCCGGAAACAAGGCGTGACGTGGCCACATGACGGCCGTAAGCCTTCTCCAAGCTGTCGGAGATCTCACCCACCGAACACCGGCAGCGAGCAGCCTATACACAAGCACATCACGTCATATCATGTCATTATGAATAATTCATTGTCACCCAGTGAAGCACCTGTGAAATCCTAGGAGCGTCGGAAGGTATTCGACATTGGCACGGCCATGAAGGTTCAAAGTTCGGGCCCCTCCCCGGAAATAATTTTTGGGATATAGCCCATATTTTATTGCTTCAAAACAACAAGATAAAATTATTGGTATGGCTTTGGCCGGACCTACCGCACCGGTTCTGACGCCCCTGCACACACAGCGAAGACTACCTACCGCGCCAGCTGCAAAAGGCAATTACTTACCTCCATTGACAGCGCGAGGAGGTTCTTCGTTTCATCGGTGGCAGCTTGTGTGAGCGCATCCAGAGCAGCTTGAGCCTACGAAAAGAACGCCATACAAGAAGTGATGAGTCTACAGAAGAACACCAGGCAAGAAATGATAAGTCTACAAACACAGAACACCATGCATGATGTGAGAGCAGACTGCTTCAATATGTAGGTAAGTGACTCGAGTGTAGTTGAGAGAAAACGCAACAACACCCAGCATTAAAATATATATATTGAGACAACATCTCCTGGCACGTCAAATGACGGCAAATAAATCAGTTGAGATGAAGCAACCATGGTAGAATGGAATACATGTATACCCATTTCGTATAGTACAGGCACACAATGCAGGTGCTGAAAAGAACTTTACCAGCAGTTTTCAGATGCTCACTGCACGCACAGGGAACAGAGTGTACTGTGCAGGACTCACCTTGGACTCATCTCGTTCCTGCCGTACTTTCTTCAGCCGTGAAATCTACACACGATCAATGAGAGTCACATAGCATTACTTCGAAGTACAACCCAAGGCATCACACAACACAGGGCAGTCACATCACAAGACATGATGTCTCCCGAAACACTGTATATTTTAAAACAGGGAGTGGTGCTTTCTTGCAGGTTTGTCGAGTTGAAGGTTTGAGGGACTTCTCTCGTGTGCTCTGGATAGCAGTCGTGCGTCAGTCACGTGTCAAGTCAAGTCGGCGGGGAAAGCACGAGCTCCAGGGTGGGAGCAAACAACTTCCTTAGACATCGTGTTTTTGTTTTTTGTTTCTAAACCACTGCAGCGGAGGTGTAAGACTGGCTGGGAAAGAGATATAGCAATACTGCAACAAAACATGATCATGTCTGGCCAAAGTTGCAGTCTTTGAACATGTAATGAGCAATCACAGTTGGAACAGTAATACGATGTACACACACACGTGCGCGTGCATACACACACACGCGCGTGCACACACACACATATGCACACACACATGCCCCCCCCCCCACGCACACAGAGCTGTCCGTACCTGCTGGTCACGAACAAACGTGTTATCAACTTCCAGCACATCAATGAGATCTTCCTTCTCCAGCTTGTATTTGTTCACACCGACAATAGTCTCTGCAATCGGCCAACACACAAACACACCAAACATCACTGGTTTAGTCACAGCATCGCCATATTGTTCGGTTATAACTTATAAGTCGACCTTGTAGGACCTAAAAAACAAATCAAAAAAGGGTTGTCGACTTACAACTGGGGTGAAACCATAATTGATAATGAACGAGTAAAGCGAAGCCTGGCGTTGACCTATAACCGGGGTCGACTTATAACCGGGGTCGATCTACAACTGGGGTCGACCTGTAACCGGGGTCGACCTGTAACTGGGGTCGACCTGTAACCGGGGTCGACCCATAACCGGGGTCCACATATAACCGGTGAAATACTAGTACAGTACATATGATTGTAACAAACAAAAGGAGAACAGAACCAGAAGCAGCTGCCCATGACAACCTAAGTAGATGACATCTCCAAGACACAGCGGTAGCTGTTCATGACAATCCAAGTAGATGACATCTCCGAGACACAATGGCAATGATAACCCGGCCAGCTTGGCCTTACCGGCCTTGGAGTCGATCCTCGCTTGGCGACTGGCGGCACATTCTTCAATGCGCAGTTTGGGCATACCGGATGCCACTGCCTTGGCCATACCACCCAGCTCATCAACCTGGGTCAAGAAGAAAACGCATGACCCCACGCATGCGTGTGCGCGCACACACACACACACACATACGCAGATACAAACATGTTTTGGGAAAAGCTTGACTGTCTACAAGATGACATACCAGCAGCGGTCCAGCTAGACGGTCCACATCTACACAAGTTGTACCTGCACATACAGTCAGGCCTGTCACTACTTCTGATACCATAACATGCGTGTGTCTATTGTACAGTGGACACCTGGGTACTGATACCATATCATGCATGTGTCTAATGTACAGTGGACACCTGGGCACTGATACCATATCATGCATGTGTCTATTGTACAGTGGACACCTGGGCACTGACCTCTTTGATAACATCCAGTGCAGCTTTGTAGACCTCGTCAGTTAGAGACTCCATCATGTAAGAGCCTCCCCATGGGTCAGCAACCTGCATGAACAACAACATCAACATGGTCATGGATCAGCAACCTGCATGAACAACAACATCAACATGGTCATGGGTCAGCAACCTGCATGAACAACAACATCAACATGGTCATGGATCAGCAACCTGCATGAACAACAACATCAACATGGTCATGGATCAGCAACCTGCATGAACAACAACATCAACATGGTCATGGATCAGCAACCTGCATGAACAACAACATCAACATGGTCATGGATCAGCAACCTGCATGAACAACAACATCAACATGGTCATGGATCAGCAACCTGCATGAACAACAACATCAACATGGTCATGGATCAGCAACCTGCATGAACAACAACATCAACATGGTCATGGGTCAGCAACCTGCATGAACAACAACATCAACATGGTCATGGATCAGCAACCTGCATGAACAACAACATCAACATGGTCATGGATCAGCAACCTGCATGAACAACAACATCAACATGGTCATGGATCAGCAACCTGCATGAACAACAACATCAACATGGTCATGGATCAGCAACCTGCATGAACAACAACATCAACATGGTCATGGATCAGCAACCTGCATGAACAACAACATCAACATGGTCATGGATCAGCAACCTGCATGAACAACAACATCAACATGGTCATGGATCAGCAACCTGCATGAACAACAACATCAACATGGTCATGGATCAGCAACCTGCATGAACAACAACATCAACATGGTCATGGATCAGCAACCTGCATGAACAACAACATCAACATGGTCATGGATCAGCAACCTGCATGAACAACAACATCAACATGGTCATGGGTCAGCAACCTGCATGAACAACAACATCAACATGGTCATGGGTCAGCAACCTGCATGAACAACAACATCAACATGGTCATGGATCAGCAACCTGCATGAACAACAACATCAACATGGTCATGGGTCAGCAACCTGCATGAACAACAACATCAACATGGTCATAGGTCAGCAACCTGCATGAACAACAACATCAACATGGTCATGGATCAGCAACCTGCATGAACAACAACATCAACATGGTCATGGGTCAGCAACCTGCATGAACAACAACATCAACATGGTCATGGATCAGCAACCTGCATGAACAACAACATCAACATGGTCATGGGTCAGCAACCTGCATGAACAACAACATCAACATGGTCATGGGTCAGCAACCTGCATGAACAACAACATCAACATGGTCATGGATCAGCAACCTGCATGAACAACAACATCAACATGGTCATGGGTCAGCAACCTGCATGAACAACAACATCAACATGGTCATGGATCAGCAACCTGCATGAACAACAACATCAACATGGTCATGGATCAGCAACCTGCATGAACAACAACATCAACATGGTCATGGGTCAGCAACCTGCATGAACAACAACATCAACATGGTCATGGGTCAGCAACCTGCATGAACAACAACATCAACATGGTCATGGATCAGCAACCTGCATGAACAACAACATCAACATGGTCATGGATCAGCAACCTGCATGAACAACAACATCAACATGGTCATGGGTCAGCAACCTGCATGAACAACAACATCAACATGGTCATGGATCAGCAACCTGCATGAACAACAACATCAAC